TGTGCATGTAGGGGCACTACATGTGACAGAACTGATTTTTTTCCAAAAAAAATGACAAAACACTATACTGTATCCATTCATGCAGAAGCCTGCCTTCAACCAACAACTGAAAATAATAATAATCCTTGTGTTTGATATAGCACCTTACTGCGTCTTCTAGACGTCTCAAAGCGCTTCATATATTGTAAATTTAGTCCCAGGAGAATAACATTCCCTGAAGGTCTCAACAGAGCAGTGTTTAAGAACTCATAAAATGGTGCTCTTTGCATCTCTACACCCTGTAGATTACAGCGTGTTACAACCTTGTAGATTACAAATTCAAATGAACTCACTTAAGTTCCTCACTCCAACCTTTGACTAAAATCTAGAATTCTCTTTTACCGTAGTCTTATAATTAGAACATCAACATCAATTGTGACTTTTGGGCAGAGATGTTTGCTTTTTTACAATACAGGAAGCACATAAATCAAGATTAAAAATGCAATCATGAACAGTTAGTTCAAATATATCTCCAAAAGTAAAATTACAAATGGCTCACTGGTTAAATGGTCCCCTCCTGATATACTGAATTACGCACACCAAAACGGTTCTGATATCAGTCAGGGCATTACAATTGATTTCAGCATTCCCAGACAAGGGAAGGAAAACAGCAGCCAAACATTCCCTCTCCTGATGACTCTCCACTATCTGGGTTTGCACCTTGACAGCTACCAACAAACTGACAGTGCTAATGGAACTCTATTCCATCAGCACTGTCAGGAGTGGAGTCCTGTAGCTCAGTGGTTAGAGCACTCGCTTTGCAAGCGAGAGACCTGAGTTCAATTCCAGTCAGGGCGAAACCTTGGGCAAGTTTCCTTACTCCACACAGAGCCTAATAATAATCCCTCCAAAAAAAAAAAAAAAATAATAAAATTGGTCATTTTCAATCTACGACTGTTTGTGGGACATTGCTGTGTGCAATTGGCTGCCGCGTTCGCCCACAAATATACAGTCAATTCACTTTACAGTGTGTTCTGTGAAGCACTTTGGGACGTCCTCCCGACGTGAAAAGCGCTATATCAAATGCAAGGATTATTATTATTATTATTATTCCAGTCTATACCAACATTTTCAATGTTTTTATAATACTATAGCTGCAGAAAGTGTGAAGAGCAAGTTATTTTGTGAAGGTAATCAATTATTTTCCATAGAAACTATGTTTTGTTCTACATTTTGTTCCAAACAGCATCTGCACTGCAGTGTGTGCACCCACTAATTCAGACTTTGCAATTCTAGCAACTAATGTTGCTTCAGCAATAAATTCCACAGTCCCTTTAACTCACTCCCTCCCCTGCCTCCTTCAAGGCCCGTCTCAAGATCCTCCTCTTCGACTGCGCCTTCAGTTACCCTCCTACCCCTACCCTCCTCTGCCCTCCACCCTTCCTCATCCCAAACCCTAGCTCTAGTTCAAATCTCTGACTGTCCAGCACCTTTGGACATCCTCCCAATGTGAAAGGCACTGTGTAAATGTAATTTGTTGTTGTAAATCCAGCAATTCTGAAGCATAACATAATCTCTTCTTTTCCCTCCTTCCTTACTTTTCACAGCAACTGGGACTTCAATGGAAATGTGGAAATAGAATGGTGTTTGCCATGGCACAGCACATTGGTGCTTCAATACTCTATCATATCGCTTCACCACAAAAGTGCAGCTAGTTTAAAAGAATAAATAACTGCAATTAAACTAGGTCCCATGGAAGCAGTTATGTTGAAGCAATTCTCAGAGAATGAGGGATAAAATATCATCAATATGTAGAAAGAATCCCATATTATAGAAGTGTTTGATCCTTCAAATGTCTTTGAGCTTCTTGCAGGTTAGAGTAATGTCACGTTTTCAGACTTTAATAACTTATCAACTAACTTACACCTCAGAATGCATCACAAATTTATTTTTTGATGTCAGCAAAGTGAAGTAGATCACTGCAAAATCACCAGACAATCGATCAACCTGCCTGATAAACCAGCTCGAATGCCCCATTATCTTACACATCAGAGGGAAAGCCAACTTTCAATTTGTAAGCAGACAAGCAGTACAATCTCTCACTAGGACTATAAATTCCAATGAAAACAAAAGGAATGACTTCTACATAGCATTGCTGACAAAGAAAAATGGTGACTACTATACATTGGGATTCTTGTGTTATTTTTGCAGAGCTGATTCATACCACCAATTCATACCACCAATACCTTACTTAATCTTTGACAGCAGGAAAAAAATTTCAACGACTTAACTGATCTTATAACTGGATTTGTTCACAAAGAACATTCAAATACCACTGCATACTGCTCATTCTGCACACACCACATGATATTATACATTATTAGATAGGCATTTACTAAAAGGTTAGTTTTGTCCAAATTTTTTTTATTATCCTTCAACTTTCCAAAACTAAAGATGCCTTTCACCATGTTCTAAACAACAACAACAACTTGTATTTATACAACCTTCATACAGGGTAGGGTCTTAGAGCGCTTAAACATTACTGAAAGGCAATATCACTTAAAGTCGTGCATTTACTTCATATTTTCACAATGTACTTACCTTCATTACAACATTCACTACGTATCCAAAAACGTATCAAGCATACTGCTGCCAACAATTGTATCACCATGGCTAAATTTTACTGCATACCTAACTAGTTGGCAATGCAGCTAGATAGCTTCATGAAGCTGAATTATTAAGGGGTCAGATTCTTAAAACAAACAATCCATCTCAATGACTGACAAAATGTGATAATTACAGAAAACAGTGTAATCCAACAAAGCAGCACATTTATCAAGAAAATGAAGAAAACAGTCTTTAAACTGTATTGAGGAAACGTTTCGATAAAGGCTAAAAGTCATGGAACTACTGGCAAATTAGTTGGATGAATTAAATCCTGGTTTGGCAATGTGAAACAGAAAATTATAAAAAAATGGAAAAAGCGCAGTCCGGAGGCAGTTTCATAGAGATGTACTATAGGTCTGTTTATACTATTCATGACTCATTTAGTGAAGAATGCTTCTTGTAATGCCATTAAGTGTAATATTGATCAGTTATGTGGCCAAGTGACAAATATAAAGGAGATGGGCAGCATTCAAAAAGCTCTGTGCCATTTGAGTAAAATGGCAGAAAGATTTTTGGATTAAGTCACATGGCAACAACAAACCTGCATAGATAATAAAAATGTGTCAGCGAGGAAAGAAATTAAAAATGAGTTTTTTTTGTGCACAATTATTGATCAGTCACTGAAGATTTCAGTCAATGTGAAACTAAAAGCATACTTGTTAACTTCTCCAATATCAGTCGTTCATGATTTCCCTTAGTCAAAAAATGAACACTAATTCTTAAACTGATTAAACTCACAACAGGTCAAAGAATACTATCTATATCCCCTTTGAAGAAAACAAAAAGACTGCACATTTTTGTTAAAAAAAGTTGGCTAAGGACATCAACATTATCTCCATTATTCTCTTGAATTCATTATCTCCAATTATTCTGAAGATGCTTGAAGAGACCCCAATCTGAGAGATTCAGGTAAAGGTTTATCTGAGTGACGAAGTGTTGTTGGAAACGATTTCCAAGGATTTAGAAACTAAATGTTAGTGTACCTTGGATACAGTTTTATAAGTGCATCTGTAATTTCCAAATCAATGAGCAATTTGTGACAGTGTGTATAGCTTCAGGGCTTCTAGAAGATATGGATTAATAACCCATTATGATTTTTAAATCACCTTCTGTCAAAATAGAACTCTTTCCAGCCCAGGCATGACAAAGACGTTCCTTGAACATAAAACCTAACAGCCGAAAGCATCATTGCATTCTTCTAACAAAATGGATCATTGTGTCTCCAAATATCCAAAATTCGTCAACATGTTCAAATAGAGCTTTTTAAATTCCTCTGAATTATTTGGTTGGCAAAATAAATCAGTAAAACAATGACTAATAAATACAGCTAGTCTGGAATGCTACTACATTTTACAATATTTAAGCAAAGTGGAACAAACCTGTCTTCAGTCTTCCCAAAAAGCATTACGCACTTAAACTAATATTTTTTTGAATCCATTGAAATAATCAGAAAATAGAATCAACAAGAGCTTTCAGAGAGAATGTCAGTTTATAGCATCACTTGAAGAGCCTTAAGTTAAATTTAAGTCAAATGGTTGGAACACTCAGACAAAAGAAAAGTATTTGATACTTGAAATCTGCAAGCCAACAAACAGGCAATCAAACTTTCTTATGTAATAAAATTAATCCTTGCATTTGATATCACTTATCACATCTTCGAGACGTCTCAAAGCGCTTCATATACTGTAAAGTGTTATATACTGTAAGTGAATTGACTATATTTTGTGGGCGAAATATGTACCGCCTAATAACCAAAATTGTAGAAGATAACAATTTGCACTTAGATAGCACCGTTCACGTGTGGAGACTTCTCAAAGTGTTTTGAGTCGGAGCACAAGATGGGAATGGTGGCCAGAAGCAGTCAAAGAGATGGGTGTTGAAAGCTGAAAGGGAGTGGGGTGAAGGGATTTAGGAAGCATTTCAGAGTAAGCAATTTATTTTCATTGACGGAGATTATTGACATTCAATTAAAAATGTGATTTCCAAAGCAGTAGCAACTGAACACAAAGCAATGCATTACTTTTTTAAAAGCAAGACTCCTTCAGTCTTCTACTCTTTTCCTAGTTTGCCCACTACTCAGAGAAAAGGAAGATTGGTAATCTGCTCCCAATGTGAGTGCCAGAGAGGATTCATTCATTCATATATTCATTTGTTCATTTGTTCTCTCAGATTCAAACTGAGAGGACTCCGATAATGCACCCACCACTCAGCAACTTCGGGGCTCAATGTGGCTAATATGGAGAACAAAGTAGACAAAATCCTGAATCTATTTATGTTCCGTGGACTCCCACAAGACATTATTAAAAATATCAATACTCGGTGAAATACTTCAATACAAAATAAATGGTGCTCACCTGGTCCAAACGTAAAGCACCCCCTTTGAACCTCTGCTTACGAAGATGCTTGGCCATGTTATGAAGACAGAACACAGAAGCTTTTATTTCAGCAATAGAATGTTCAGGAGAAATCGGTGGAAGCTCCTCAGGAAGAAAAACTTTCTCAGGATCCTCGATTATACTTTGTGCATGCTCATAACTCAGGTTCACACAAGAGCGAATAATTGTTCGACCAAACCATTCTTTAAGGATCTAGAAAACAAAATTTCAGAAGTACACAAAAAATTTAATTAAATCAAATAAACTGCAGTCAGTGATGATTGTGATACTGAAACCTTTCTTTCCTCATTAAAACAAAATACCCAATTTGTTACAAATATTGTAAATGCTATGGAAATTAGAGTGCACACATAATAGCCATCAGAACATATTTGTGTTGCAGTAAAGTGTATGCAATATAAACAATTGTTTAGTTAAATCATATTCTGCACTATTTTCGGTTATAAAAATAAGGCTATACTGTCTTCCGAATGTCAGTCAGACATCAAGTCCTGGATGAGAGCTAAGTTTCTTCAGTTGAATGTCGACAAGACCGAGGCTCTCCTGATTGGCTCCCATCAGCGCCTCCTCACCTCAAGCGCTGACAGCATCACAACAACAACAACAACAAGATTACATTTGTATAGTGCCTTTACGTCGGGAGGACATCACCATCCATGATGCACACTCAACTTTGCTAAGCCAGTCCGGAACCTTGGGGTCTTGTTTGACCCTCAACTATCCTTTCTACCCCACATCTGTGCCATGACCCACTCTGCCTTCCCCACCTCTGCAACGTTGCCCAGCTCCACCACTGTCTGACACCGCAGATCCCCGAAACTCTCATGCATGCCTTCATTACATCGAGGCTCGACTATGCAAACACACTGCTTGTCGGCCTTCCCAACTCCTCCACAGGCTGCAGATTATCCAGAACTCTGCAGCCTGTGTCCTCTCCCCCAACCCTATCAACCCCATCCTTGCCCATCATTGGCTTCCCATCACACAGAGGATTAGGTTCAAGATCCTGGTCCTCACCTTCACAGCCCCCCCATGGTCTTGTTCCCATCTATCTCTCCGACCTCCTAACCCGCTCCCTCTGCTCAGCGGGCTGCGGTCTGCTTCACGTCCCCCGCCTTGCTCGCCCCACTATCGGCGGGCAGGTCTTCCGCCACTCTGCACCTACTCTCTGGAACTCTATCCTATTCCCTCCGCCTCTCTCGCCACCTTCAAGACCCTCCTCTTCGACCGTGCTTTCGATCTCCTGCCCTCCACTCTCCCCTACCCCAATCCCCAGCTTGGGCCCGTAACTCTGTCTGTCCAGCGCCTTGGGACATCCTCCCGACGTGAAAGGCGCTATACAAATGTAATTTTGTTGTTGTTCTGGCATTTGAAAGAGTGGAATCTTTTTAGAGTTGATCCAAATTAACCGCCTGGTGATGCGAATCACTCAAGACTGTGTGGTGGAGAGTAAACCAATACCTGACCCACATAGGTTCGTAGTACTCCACAGCACTCTTGATGATTGATCAGTCTGCCAAGTGACCTGAAGGAAATTGTTCGCATTCAACTTTTGAAAACCCTGCAAGTCAGTCACTGTTAGGTGTACTCTTCTGAGCTAGACTAGTAGCAGCAGATTTACGAGTGCCTTGTACTGGTAAACTGCAGTTTATTCAATTAAATAGTTCCACAATGTGCACTTAAGGCTCTCAACACTAAATGAGTCAATGATCCATATTGATAGTCTTAATAGTTTAAGTGCTTGCACTAATAAATACTATCCAATGGTTATACTGGTGAGGTTGCTAGTCCTATGGTCATTGTACCAGGTATTAACTCTGGGACACTGCCCCGCATGAATGCAAGTTGTTGTTGTTGCTGTTAACTGCGCTCTGGATTGTTAGCATTCTAAATGTATCTGAAGACCTTCCTATTTGACTGTGCCTATGGTCACCTCCCTCTCTCCCACTTCGATGTTATGTTGCTGAGTATTCCGAGACTCTAACCACTTAAGGGCGCTATATAAATGCAAGTTGTTGTGTGTTTAAGGTCCTCACCTTTTTTCATTCATTCCAAACTTTACCAAAAGTTCTTGAATGCACATGAAAGCAATCTTGAAGTGAGGAGCATTTAAGTTGTACCTAAACTATTTTAGGTTTTATGAACACAGTGCATAGTGTACTTTGCAATAAAAAAATGGGGGTGGGGGCAGAACGAGTTCTGACCTGAAATTGACTTCCACCCGGCTTAATTAAGTTAATTCACTAGACTGACTTGTAAACACACCTGCAGGCTAACTATTCCATTTGGACAGGCAAACAACTTTTAAATTGCAACTATTCACAAATTCCAATACTGAAGGCAATATAATCATATGGGCCATTATTTTCTTCAACCTTTCATTTAGATTCCAACATGTAAGGCTGCACTTGCTATCATACCGCATACACAACAGCTGAAAATACAACTCGAAAATACCTTGGGGAAGTCAGTGATATCACAGGTTCAGCATGCCTACAATAATAATGGTGTTAAGGCAAGCAAAGAGAGTTAAGCACAATGAAATTGGGAAAGGGAAAATGTTGTTCGAAGCCAATGTAAACCTCACAAACATAAAAAGAAATACACCAGCATGAAAAAGATTTACATTATGAAAATTATATGCATCTAATCTGTAGAATGCTGAAAGACCCGTGGTTTTCATTGAAAGCTTTTGAAAAAGTATATTGAAAATAACTGATACTGAATACTTATTTTAGTGTAACATTATTTTAAAGATCTGAATCATATTCCTCCTTCAGTTCTTTTTTCAGTGACAACAAATTCAACTCTGCTATTCTCAGTTTGGTTTGGATACTCTCGACATGGTGATGGGGTTCTGTATGTGTTAAGACACCCGTGTGACCCCCAAAAAAGCTCTGCAACGAGTCAGTTCATACCTCCCAGCTTCATTGACAGTCAGGTTTCCTTCCCTTGATTCATGCAAAAAGGAGACCCTTGTTTTTCTGAATCTTTTAACACTTCGATGTTATGTTGCATAAAATTGCACACAATATTTCAAATCCAACCCTCACCAGTGATTTATTAGAATAACTTCTCTCGACTTCAAATCAAATGCTTTTGCAACTTAACAAACTGTACACCATACCAACAAATGGGAAGAATTTGGAGATTAACAGACAAAATAACATTAATATGTTATTAAAAAGGCCTTCACTTTCAATTTCATGCTTTTTGCGTTTAATGATACAACAATGGCCTCTTAAACACCCATCATTGCTGCAGAAATTAAAACACTTAACTGCATCGTTCAAAACAGAAAATCTTCAGTTTAATCTACAAATTAAATTGAATAATTTCATTTTATTCTATAAATGTAAAAATTTGGGTTGCATTTTAGCTGTGTCGAAGAAAAAATGCTTCTACCAGACAAAAATGAACCACACGAACTACCATAAATTTCATTTTAAAAAAGTTCAACATCCAACTACAATTTCAAAAAACACAACTTGAGCACTCTCCCTTCCGTCACCCTCCTTCCGACACCCCCCCTGCCCTCCCCCTACCCGATCCCGACCCCCAGCTCAGGTCCCTCCCGATGTGAAAGGCGTGATACAAATGTAATTGTGTTGTTGTTGATGTCACACTGGACATTACATTCTTCTTACTCAGAAACTTGAGTGTTACCAACTGAGCCAAGCAGACACACTAAATAAACATAGGACAGAGAAAAGAGTGAAGAGAGGATGGACAGGTAATGCAGAAACAACTTTAAAAACTTTTTAGTGGAATTTAGTACAAAATTATTGCAGTAATAATGCTCCTTCTGATATCCAACCAGTACTTATTAGTATTATGCTATTACCCCTTGAGTAGGAACTGTAAAGCTTTTAATTGCATTATTGGTACATGATGAAACAGGGGTATTAGAACTGTTGAATTTACTGTCAAACGTACATTTAAATATGGTATTCAGAACAGACAAAACAATTTTAGTAGCTAGAATTTCAGTAAATGGGGTTACGAGAATAAAATGTACTGACTTCTAAATATAGTGATCTGAAGAAATTGAAACAGCTGTACCTTTCCTTCAGGAGTCAATGTCCAAATAACAGAAAATGTAAGTTTGTCCTGCATTGGATTCAGGCTGCAGAGATTTTCACAGAGAAGTCTTGGAAGCATTGGGACAACCTAAAAAAAACACACCATTCAAGTCAAAGCTTAAGATAATAAAGCTTCTTATGCTTGTGAACATGCAATTGTACTTTTGTTTGCATCAAAAGTATGTCACATTTCATGACTTTTTTGTCTCTGCAGTATACTTATTTCTCCTATAGCTCAGTGGTTAGAGCACTTGCCTTGCAAGCGAGACACCTGGGTTCAATTCCAGGCAGGGCGAAATCTTGGGCAAGTTTCCTTACTCCACACGCCTAATAATAATCCCTCCAAAAACAATGATAAATTGGTCATTTTCAATCCACGACTGTTTGTGGGACGCTGCTGTGCGCAATTGGCACACAAATATACAGTCAATTCACTTTACATTCTATTCTGTGAAGCGCTTTGAGACATCGAGAAGACGTGAAAAGCGCTATATCAAATGCAAGGACTATTATTATTATTATTCTCTAAATCTATAGTCAATTATGTCAAAATGGTATACATTACCTATGAATAAGTAACAATCTATTTACCAATTTCAAAACTTTGCTTTACATTGTGGAATTATTACGATGTAACTAAAATTGTTTGTGAATGAATCCCAAACCTTTATTCATTGTCCATAACAAATGTTTCTCATTGCTCACCTTCTGAACCAGATAGACACTGGTTGCTCGCATGCTAGCAATATCATCAAGCGGTGTACCTTCATGAACAAAGTATCCCACGTCTGCAATATGTACTCCAACTTCAAAGTTTCCTTCAAAGAAATTAATATGCATAAAGGAAGTCTTAGTGATAAAGCGCTATATCAAATGCAAGGATTATCAACAACAACAACAACAAGATTCCATTTATAAAGCGCCTTTCACGTCAGGAGGACGTCCCAAGGCGCTGCACAGTTGGGTCATGACCCGAGCAGGGGGGAAATGGTCAGGGTGAGGGGAGGGAGTGAGGAGGGGGGAAATGGTCAGGGTGAGGGGAGGGATGGGAGGGAGCGAGAAGGGGGAAGAGAGTCGAGAGGGGAGCTGAAGGCTCGGTCAAAGAGATTATTATTGTTGTTGTTGTATATTTGACACACAATATGAATTTGACTGGAATTTGCCAGCCTATTTCTTCAGAAAACAATATGCTTTCGTTCAAGGATTATATTTGTAAGACAACAAAGCAAGGAGTCTGCAACCTTCTTATTTGGGAATTGGTTTGCTGGCCACCTAGTCTGTTGTTTTCAATCTTCAAGTAAAATAAATTCAAACTTCATCTGACCTCAACAACAACAACAAGATTTCATTCATAGAGCGCCTTTCACGTCGGGAGGACGTCCCAAGGCACTGTACAGTTGGGTCAGGACCCGAGCAGGGGGGAAATGGTCAGGGTGAGAGAAGGGAAGGGAGGGGGCGAGGAGGGGGTAGAGAGTTGAGAGGGGAGTTGAAGGCACGGTTGAAGAGAAAGGTCTTGAGACCGGCCTTGAAGGAGGAAAGGGAGGAAGCGGCGAAGGCACTGGGGGATGGAGTTCCAGAGCCTCGGGGCTGAGAGGCTGAAGGCCCGGCCACCGATGGTAGGGCGGTTGGGGCGGGGGATGTGGAGCAGACCGGAGCCAGAGGAGCGGAGGGTATGGGCAGGTAAGTAAGGGGATAGTAGGCCAGAGAGGTAGGAGGGAGCGAGGCCCTGAATTGCCTTATAGGTGAGGATGAGTCCTGTGGCTCAGTGGTTAGAGCACTCGCTTTGCAAGTGAGAGACCTGAGTTCAATTCCAGGCAGAGGGCGAAACCTTGGGCAAGTTTCCTTACTCCACACGCCTAATAATAATCCCTCCAAAAAAAAAAACTAAAAACAATAATAAATTGGTCATTTTCAATCTACGACTGTTTGTGGGACATTGCTGTGCGCAATTGGCTGCCGCGTTTGCCCACAAATATTCAGTCAATTCACTTTACAATGTACTCTGTGAAGCGTTTTGGGACGTCCCCCCCGACGTGAAAAGCGCTATATCAAATGCAAGGATTATTATTATTATGAGGATCTTGAATTCTGGGGGATGGGGAGCCAGTGGAGGCAAGTGAGGGTGGGAGTGATGTGGTCGCGAAGCCTGGTGCGGGACAGTACACGAGCTGCTGAGTTCTGAATGACTGTGGAGGGAGGTGCCGGGAAGGCCGACGAGGAGAAAGTTCCCGTAGTCCAGCCTTGAGGTGATAAAGGCGTGGACCAGTGTTTCAGCAGCGTGAGGGGTGAGGGTAGTGCCGCAGTCTGGCGATGTTCCGGAGGTGGTAGAAGGCAGTGCCAGTTGTGGCGCGGATGTGGGGAAGAAAGGACAGCTCAGGGTCGAACAGAACAGACCTCAAACCAAGTAGACCTCTCGTCTACAGAAGATCCAAGCAGTTATATATTTAAATTATAAATTTATAATGTAAATGTATAGCTGTGCGCAGTTAATGTTAATAAAAACATAAATGAAAAAAAAATTGACACATACCATCTCGGAGCTCACGACAAGATAGTGCATCATCGAGATCTCTCGCGGTAGCTGGATCAATAGTAAATATGCAATCTTTCCTATTAAAACAGAAACAAGTTTTATAGGCAACGTAAGCAAACATTTAAACAGTTTGATGGATATGCCAAGGTAATTCTCAGAACCACCATTTCCAAGAAACTATACTTATTAGTTTGAAACTAATTATTACCATAATTTTTTTCAAAATATTTTCCAAAATCAAACTAGGTTAACCACAAACCCCTTGAATTCGAAACAAATAAGTTACCTTTAAATATTTAAAAAGCTGAAATCATTGGCAGGCACTTTTGAGACACTCTGCCCCCCCGTTCTCTAGAACTCTCCCAAAAGTCTTCAAATCCCTTCTGGAGACCTTTTTCAAACTTTGGTAAGCCAGGTGTCTGACACATGCAGAAACGCATACCCATGCTTAAGATTATCCAAACTAAGCTGAGAATACCATGCATCACAACTACACATGGAAATTCCAGAGATAAATGTTGAAATGGAATGTGCACTCTCCCTGGAGGGACGCAACCTGCTCACCTAACTCCGGAAAGTATTAGACGCAGATTAGCAGGAGCCAAGGTATGGGGACCCCGGAGTACGTGTTAGGGAGTACTGTTGGAGTCTAACCAGTTAAAACCGCATAGCTTGCAATTGATAGCACTGTCTGGCAAGCTTTCCCGTTGCTTGTCCAGCTAGAATCACCGCGCCTGTTAGCGTGCTGAGTGGGAGGATTCCCTGCTCCCTGCGACTGGTCTGCCCTTCTAGGGACCTATGACTTTGATTACCTACCGCCCTCCCACCCTCCACCTATGTACATCCTGCTCAGGCTCCCACTCAGTCTCTATGAAGCACTTCCAGACATCATCCTTTTTGAAAGGCTATATAATTTCACGTTGTTGTTGAAACAGGAGAAATGTGCCAGAATATAATTTCTGCCTGTACTTATGACCCATTGTTCTGCTGAAAACAAGAGGAATTCTAAGTCCTTGCTTGCACTTTGGCATGGTTTTGACAGTATAACCAAACTTAAATTCAATTTAGATTGTTTTTAGGCCAACTCAGGAACATTTCAGATGACTGTTAATGGAACTGGTCTTCACAGATGAAATGTGAACTTAGTGTATTTAGCTCTCACAATTCTGCAATCAATACTGAACAGCATCATGTCCAATATAACTGAATACGACAAGGAAAGTAAGACTGTTCAAGAAGATTTGAGGCCCTTTCTTGCTTTGCACAATGGAATGAAATAAGCAAGCAAATCAGAAAACCAATGATGATTGTTCTTGAGGAAGAAAGCGACTGTGTGTGCAGAACACATATAGTAACCTGGTGGCAGCCACATCCCATGAGCTCTTGAATGCAACTCCAAACATATAATAAAACAATGACAGACTATTTGTGAAGTCCTGTAGCTCAGTGGTTAGAGCGCTCGCCTCGCAAGCAAGAAATCTGGGTTTGATTCCTGGCAGGGCGAAAAGGTGGATAAGTTTTCTTACTCCACACTCCTCTGCTTACCTAGCAGTAAATAGGAACCTGATTGTTAGTCAATTGGCGGATCGCTTTTCCAAGGATAATAATTCCTTCAAAAAAAAACAATAATAAATTTTGTCACTTCAATCTAAGACTGTTTGTGGGACACTGCTGAGCGCAATTGGCTGCTGCGTTTCACCCACAAAATATTCACTTTACAGTGAATTTCTGTGGAGCACTTTGAGACGTCTCGAAGACATGATGAGGCGCTATATCAAATGCAAGGATAATTATTATTATAAATATTGAGATGAAAATGAAATGACCTAGAATTCCTTCACAAAAGTTCTTTCTTATTATTATTGATGAAACATTCAAAATTATGATAAAATTTGAAGCTGTAATTAGACAACATTGAAGTGAAGTTCATAACCTATTATTTTTGGATAAACAAGCAGTTTTCACAAAATTCTAAATTCTAGAAAGTTCAAAGCAATTTCAGATTACTGAATTCATTAAATGTTAAAATTGGTCATCCAATTAAAACCCCAATTCATCTATGATCTTATTTGGTGAATTCTTAAGAGAGGCATTATTAAATGCATTTCAAATTTCCCCTTAAGTATTGCTTTTATTTTTTTCATAAAATCTATTCTGCACTGTATCTGTACATTGCTAACATTTTAAATAGTCCAATCTTATGGATCAAAGTTTTTAAAGTGGTGTAATTCAATGCTGTTTTAACATTTTGCGACACAAGGACAATTCGGTTCTAATCCAATTAGTACATAATTAAGTTGTCAAAACTGAAAGAAAATGCTTTGATTAGATTCATTTGAAAACAGGTTTTGTTTAATCTACAATGTTTCCATGGCCACAGTATTATTGGGGAACAAGGAATGATTGTTTCTATGCTATTTTCATAGCACCTGTGATATGATATGATATGAACGTGGGTGTGTTGGTTTTCAGTCTCAGAAAATGCCACCATCTGAAACCTTTTGAAAAACAAATATCATCAATGTCAATTTGAAAAGGCTATAACTGTCTTGGCAAGGAAAGAATTTTGTGTTTGAAAGGAGGTCAAATATGATAACACCAACTTGTTTTACTCTCAGAATATGAAAAGAGAATAATGAAGATATTTTAATGCTTACCCTTCACACAAAATATTAGCAAGATTATCTGTCACCACCAATCTTTACAATCAAAAAGGAATAAGTAAATGCATACTGTGCTATTCAATCAAAAACATAAATACATACAGTACTTCTCAATTTGACTATTAAAGTATTTCCATTGGATACAGGATTCCCATCTTGCATCAAAAGGTAAATGCTGAATCACAACATAACCCAGCTAGACAGGTCTTTAGAACGTGCTCATAAATCTATGATTACCAGGAATGCGCAATAAAATGCAGTCAATAAAACGCTGGATTGCAGATGCCAAAAACATACATGATATGCAGCAGGAAAATCATACAGTATTTAGATGCTAGTTGAATTAAGGAAGGATTAAGGAAATGAATATAATTAGTTTACAAGCATAACCATAAATTACTCTTTCCTAAAGACACGATATTTTAAATTTGAAAATTGATACAGATGATGAAATCAGATCCAAACACACATTACAATCTTTTTACATTAGAGTTTGGTACCTATTTAGTCTGATTTTCCTCAATTACCTTCCCAGCTGAAAGCCATCACGCTAGTTGCAGATTGCACGTCCAAAATGTTATCATGTTCAAATGACTGCTCGCACGCAGGTCTGACATAACACTAAAATTACCATAGCAACAATAAATAAATTATACAGAAACTCATTTTCTACCCTTAATTTTACACAATAAGTGTCCATTATCGTAAGCTCACAAAATGTTTTATGCCTAAAATCTGAAAACAGTTATTTTTAAACTCTGAATAGCATAATGAGAAAGTGCTCTTCTCCAGGCCCACTCGTGTAAAATTAATATGCACTATGATTTGACAAAAACTAAATGTCTTGAGTACTTTTTAAGGATAAATATCTTCAAAAATTAAAAAAAGGTACTCAATAGGTGCTGTTGAACTGCAAGTTGTCTAAAAACAATAGTTTAACAACAACAACAAGATTACATTTGTATAGCGCCTTTCACATCGGGAGGAGGTCCCATGGCACTGGACAGTGTACAGCATTTCAGACTAGAGCTGAGGTCGGGGGGGGGGGGGGGAGAAGGGAGGGGAGGGGAAGGGGGGGGTGACCGATTGCATGATCGAAGTGGAGGGTTTTGAGGCACGATTTGAAGGAGGCTAAGGAGGGGGTCGAGGATGGAATTCCAGAGGTTGAGGGGAGAGTGGCTGAAGGCTCTCCCGCCTATGGTGGGGCGGGTGGGTTGGGGGACGTGGAGAAGCCGGAGCCAGCTGAGCGGAGGGAGTGGGCAGGTTGGTAGGGGGTTAGCAGGTCGTAGAGGTAGGGTGGCGTGAGGCCATGGAGGGCTTTGTAGGTGAGGACCAGGATCTTGAACTGGATCCTCTGAAGGAAAGGGAACCAATGGAGGTCGGGCGAGAGTGGGGGAGATGGGGTCACGGAGTTTGGTGCGGGAGAGGACATGGGCTGCAGAGTTCTGGATTATCTGCAGTTTGTGGAGGGAGGAGTTGGGAAGGCCGACAAGCAGGGCATTTGCACAGTCGAGCCTGGAGGTGATGAAGGCATGAACAAGAGTTTCAGCGGCCTGAGGGGTGAGGTAGTAGCGGAGTCAAAAGAATACTAAAGGTAAAAAGGAGGAAATAAAAATGAAAGGACTTTTAACCTTTAAGGTGTCCTGTCCATGGCTCCTGAAAAGAAGCAAGTGATGCAAAGAGATGTCTATTTGGATAAGTGCATGTTCTGAAACAATTCTAACCACCACTCAGATGGACAAAGATTGCTTTGAGCAGCCGCAGATCAGAGCCCTATGTATCAGTAGCAACAGGAGCCTCCAACTCCTTGCGGTAGCAAAGGAACAGAGCAGAGCAGGTACTGAGGGTGGGTAAACTGGCACTGCGTGTATGTAGAATTGAGAAAAGTGGAACAAAACACAAAATACTGCAGATGCTGGAAATCTGAAACAAAATAGAGAGAGCTGGGAAAATTCACCAGGTCAGGCAGCATCTACGGAGAAAGGAAAGTGAGACAATCTTTCGGGTCCACGACACTTCGTCAGAACTGAAAAACGGAATGCCACTATTCATTCCTGAATTTTCCCAATTTTCATTTCTGAATTTTTTCGGCCAAGAAACGGTCCAAAATAATTGCTACAATTGCAACTTCCACTTTGCGGATGCCTCATTTTAGACTAGATTATTGCCACAGTAAAATTGCTGAATTAACCTTGGTAAATGTGTGCAACATCTTCAGATGTATGTGAGTCTACCTAGATTCATAGCATTCTTGCCTATGGGTCAGAAGGTTGAGGGTTCTAGTCCTGCATTAGGAATTTCGAGCTCATGGTCTCACCAGTTGGGGGAATGCTGCATCGTTGATGGTACTGTCCTTTGTATGAAACATTAAACCAAGGTCTTGTCTTATCTGTTCAGGAACACTTGAAAGACATCATGGCACTATTTGAAAAGAAGTGTTTCTCCCAGGGTCCTGGCCATCAAACCCTTAGGTAAATCCCCAGATTGATTCACTTCATGGCTATTGGTGGACTCTGTTGGGAGGGGGAGAAATTGTGCCTCGTTTGCCTACAAATATAATCATTATACTTTACAGAAAATCTGTGGAGCACTTTGAGATATTTTTAATTGACAAGATGCTATATCAAATGCCAGGATCATCATCATCTAAATCTTTTGTGGTATAAAGAATTAAAATAAAAAATAAATATTCCTTCCATTTGATATAGCAACTAACATCACTTTTACTCCACTTTTGTTTCAATGAGTTCCGAGAATTTGAGGTAACTGACAGAGTGTCAGCTAGATTCTGATACAATGAAAAATCAGTGGGAGGTAATTTGTTTGACTGCTCACTACATAGCTGGCAATAAATCCTCGACAGAGGACCAGATTAAGATTTCGCACAAAATGTACAATACTCTGTGAGGTTGACTGCTGCTGCAACTCCTCATCCTCATTACATGCTGGAGAAGCTTTTGTAGATTTGGGAGACCTTTACATGTTTTTCTGGTACTCCACCCAATTAAATCTCACTGGGCAGCTACTTTTAAGTAAACTGCAGCCATAAGCAGGATCAGAGTTGAATTTAACCCACTCCAAAGCTGCCAGTGCTTAATATGGATTCTGGAAGGGATCACTATACACTACATAGCACTGTACACCCCATGGAATTACCAACAAAGTCCACCTGGATTTGCTGGTTATGATCACTCGCCCAATCTGAAAAAATATCTGTATTGGCTGGATTATTGTTGCATACTTGCCAAAATTAAAGCTTTCCCGTGATCAGGTGACTCCAGAATGTTTCCCAGCCTGGCCCGAAGTGCCCACCAGTATTAAACTCAAAGGAGCTTCTCTAGGACAATTCTCACTGTATCATACTTCACTAGAGCATATTCAACAATTAAAGACACACGTTCAAGCACTTTATCAAGGCTTTCTCATTACAATATGATAAATTTCTAAATGTAATTTGTTTTACTATTTCTAGGGGTAACCTTTGAACTGAAACTGAAACTGAATTTGAATTCCCTTTAAGATAATCGTGCATACATCTGCCCACAAAAACACAAAGTCCCTGCACTTTACAGTTATGTTCTGTGAAGCAGTTTGAGTCATCCTCCCGAAGTGAAAGGTGCTATACCAAATATAAGGATTGCTATTGTAAGATTCTATAAATGGTATTTTTCGCACTCATTTAATTTGGATATGTTCACACTAGGAGGTTTTTGCTTGAAACTAAATAGGCCACAAATATGAATTAAAACTTACCCTCACTTTAATGGATAAATAAGCACAACTCTGAGCAGTTGTGGAAAATAGTTGGGCTGTGATGTAAGAGTTGGGCTCCTTCCATAAGATTAAAATGAATCCAAATGAAATGTGTTTACTGTATGTAAAATCATGAATGATAATGCTCAGCACATATGCAAAGAAGGTAATATGGGTTCCAAACAAATAACGTGTTAAAATAATAATAAATAATAACCCTTGCATTTGATACAGTGCCTTATCACGTTTTTGAGACGTCCCAAAATGTACTCAACTAGTCTGGTTAATTTATTTCAATGTTTTGAAATCATACAAATTCCCTGAATGGTTTTGTACTTTCTCAGTAACTCTTCGAATCCTGGCCATGTTCAGAAATACAGCCCTTATAATAATAATAATAATGATTCTTATATCTCATCTGGCGATTTCGTGACAGGAGGATGTCTCAAAGTGCTTCACAACGGAGTGACTATTGATTTGTGGGTAAATATAACAGCCACAGTTTGCACAAAGCAACGTCCCATAAGCAGAGGTGAAGTGCCACATACAATAGATATTGCAAATCACACTTACACTGAAAGGGTATAGGGGGTTTTCATTTATATTGTCATCTGTAATTACCAAAAGTTTTATACCGAACGTCAGAAACATTTTTAAATGCACAAAACAGTTTGACATACAGTATGATAAAAAAACTAGATTGACATATGGTTTGATAAAATCCTAGTATCATACAAACAAGAGAATTTTTTTCTCCTGTATAGTTAAGGTATGATCAACTGGACAGTAATCCTAAATGACAATTACACAAATACATTTCGCTATAAAACTGCCAGTTTAATGGTTAAGTGCTTATATTTCTATAATTGCTGGCCTTACCTTCAAATCCGTTCAACTCTAACCGTTCAGTCAATCTCTTCCAGATCTATTCTCAACCTGTATGCACCATTCATTCTTGCACCTCAATCCCTCCACCCCACCACAATTAGTTGCACCTACAGACACTATGTGGTCCTCTACTTTGAAAGCTCTATTGAAAACATATCTCTTTATCTTGAACAGGTTACGTCCTACTGTTGGACAAAATACTTACCTTAAATCTTTACGTTTTTTGAATTCTTCTGCAGGAATGGTCCAAGGTAGAGATTTTGGTAGACAATTCAGAACCTCATCGGAGAACTCTGAGAAGTCCACATCATATTCTATCAGGATGCCCTCAGTTTCAGGTTCAATTTCACCAGCCTGCCCCAGACTTTTAGCCAACCTCCTGTTTGCAAACACAACACAAGTAAATCAAGTATACTTTTAGGCAGATCAATACTTTCATAGATCCCATTTATCTGATTTTTAAATTAACTCATACAATTGCTCGCAGTTTTAACTAGAGACAACGTAATTGGACTCTGCCAAGATTAAGTCTCGAATCATTATTCTCTAATATTTCAGGATGGGGCACATTTTGTATCCTTCATTAATGAATGCTCACTTAACTGTTACATCTATTTATTATGATTGATTTTAGATTTCAGTTTATAAATCCATGACTTTAGGGGAACTGGCTTACATATGTTACTGAACCTAATATTAAGTGGGATTTTGTCTGATCCACACAAATAGCCAAAGTTTTACGGGCGTCAACATAATGGAAACTATGTTTGAGTTCCAATTTTAAAGGATATGGAAAAACACAAGAACCTCTTATTACAGACAGAAATGGATGAAATTTACGTTAAGAACAGTGGATTGATTGGGTATCAAATACAATCCGCATGCCAAATAAGACATGGCTGATTGACAATCAGTAGCCAGAATACATTCATTCTACAGGCTGAAAGCAGTGCTCTATGAAAGCAGACTATCATAAGAGAAACCACATATTGAAGGTGTGGTGGACTATCTTGGAGCAGCTGTTCCATTGATGGGGACGAGTTGCCACATGATGTCACATGCCAGGTACTATGTTGTTTGCTTAGATGTTAAAATGAAAAAGTCATCTTGTGATACACACAGCAAATCAGTGCTGTGGAGCATGGATCCTGCCCTATTAGTTAACTTATCAGCCGACCTGACAAAAGGCCAAAGCTAACTTCACTCCTTGAAGTTCAAAGCTGTTTATATCCCACATGGATCCCATTAGGAGTTCACTGTCCTTGGATTTATGCTTCCAGAAGGTGAATATTCCAAACAAATAAGCCACATCCATTGCTAGTGTCAGTTAAGGAGACGATTGGTATAGCCATACCCCAGAGGACAATGTTCCTTCCTGGAACCACTGCAACCAAGGAATAAAGCATAAACTATCTCTGCTACCTTTAATGAATACAGTGGCAGAGCAGTTTCAGGTGAAGGATCACATGAACAATTTTACATAAGAAAATACAAAGATAGTGGTCAACACCACACTTTAAAAAAAGATCTCCTGTCAATACTGGATAGACATCAATCTAGGGCCAAGAAACAGAGCACCAAAGTTGTCAATTCCCTACTTAAATCCAACTGCGATTTTCCATAATATAGGAGTCAGTCAGGTTCCTGGGATGTACAGAGCTCCTGCTTGTTGACAGGATGACAGGACCAATTATCTATTCAACAGTAGATACTCATTAATTAAACACCAGTTGACACAAAAGTATCACCAATGCAGAAATAGATCAGCAAACAGAGCACTTATTTGGGCTGGCAGTGAACTAGTTGTTGGCAGCTGTTATATGTGCATGTCAAGTGACACAGAATATCGGTCAAAGCAGACAACAATAATCTAAAAACAAACAGCAGAGAATCCTGAAAAGATCAGAATAATCTGTGCTTAATAAACTGCTCTGATCCTGGATGCAGTAAGGATCATTAACTGGCCTGAGCACCTCAGGTCTCTACTGCAGGGTACGAGGTTAAAGTAACTCAAGGAAACCAATAGCCAGAGTAGCCAAACCTGATTATACTTCTGCGACCCCGTTAGAAAGTGCAACAGTATAAGCTGATCTGTAATGAAGTCTCCTCACCAGCCTTTTATCACACTTTGACGATTTGACAAACAGATACAATCTCCTCATAGCTATGTATAATTTTCCTTTTCATTTGTATATTTAATAACAAATTACCCATCTGCAAAGTTGCTGTCATCCCTCCAGTCCACGATACGGCAAATAAATAGAATATTTCCATAATCGCCAGGCCTTGCCATAAAATCCTCTGGACAGTCTTCTAATGGCACCAAAATGCGAGGCACTCTGTGGTCAACGGGTGAAAAAACTACAAACTCTTTGTAAAGTTCACTGTTTTTATCACTTAATGGCTTGATGAATCCAGTCACGGCCCGGGAGTGGTTCCTCTCCACAATGTACACTACCTACATTTATGAGAAGAACATTAGTGTTATTCTTCAGGTGCCTTTAGAAATGCAAACTTCACAAAATTCTTGAAGCGGAGAACAAGCCTACATCATCATTTCATTAGCTCCACCAATTGTCCAGTGGATAAAAGAACAGTGAAGTATAGCATCAGTCTATTTGGTCCATACAGTTACAGGTTTAAATCCCAGGATAGCAGATCCAATTGTCCTCACTCCCCAAAGTTTTGCAGGGCTATGATAACCTCCAACTTAAAAAGGCCTTCAAGAGAGGAGCATAGCAGACAATATAGAGTGAATGATTGGGTATGTGGGGAAATTTAGTTAAAAATAACTTTTTTTCTAATACACACAGAGTTGTTAGAATACGAAATACTTCACTACAAATGGATGAATCCAAAATAGTGTTCAAAGGGGAAATTGGATAAATACTGGAAAAAATAATATTAAAGCAATAGAGCAAAGTAATGGAATTAGAGAAGGGAGTAACAGTGTGGAATCCAGCACCACCAAATGATCCAGACAAATGACCACTTTTTGTGCCGTAAATGTTCCAGGATTTCTACTTCAGTATGTATATGGGACATCCTCCCGACATAAAAGGTGCTTTACAAATGTAATTTTGTTGTTGTTGTATTTACCAACCAGGAAACTGGTTATTAGCTTTGAATTATTACTCATTATACGAAAAAGATGAAAAGAAAAATACAGATTTTAAAATGTATTTACCTTAGCAGTTTTTTGTAGAAACCTTTCTGGAATATTTCCAGGAACATTTGTGATGGAAGACTTGTCCTGTCTTGAAGTTGTTCTGGAGGTGCTATCAGTTGGACGTGATTTACAATCTGAAATAAAAGTGTGAACAGTTTGACGGTAAAATATGGGTGGGGGCTGATAATCTTTTCCCTTCTGAATGCCACTGTTGGGGAGAAATTCTCAGGCACCTTAGCCTAGTCACTGTTCCTGATGTGATGTCTCAATTATAAACAATGTAATTTAAAATTTAATTTGGCAAAAAAATGACGCTTCATAAAGTTATATCATGCATTACATTGTTACAGTGTTCCATTGGAGATGAATATAGTAATATAAATGCAGTGCAACAGCATATTGAGAACAAAATGAACTACCATTAATTTAACAGTAAAAGTACAAATGTTTGGCTTTTTAAACACTTCTAAAGACGATCAGACTTCAAAATATATTTAACAATAACAAAATTTTATTTGTATAGCCCCTTTCACGTCGGAAAGATATCCCAAGGTGCTGGACAGACAGAGTTTCGGCCTCGAGCTGGGGGTCGGTGTCGGGGAGTGTGGCGGGCAGGAGGGGAAGCAGGGAGATCGAAAGTAAGGTCAATGAGGGTCTTGAAGGAGGCGAGAGAGGGGGGCAAGGCGGAGGGACTGTGGGATGGAGTTCCAGAGGGTGGGGGCAGAGTGGCAGAAGGACCGCCCGCCAATAGTGGGGAGAGCGAGGGGGGCGCGTGAAGCAGGCCAAAGCCCGCTAAGTGGAGGGAACGAGCAGAATGGTAGGGGGATTAGGAGGCCGCAGAGGTAGGGGGGAACAATACTATAGAGGGCTTTGAAGGTGAGGATCTTGAACTGTGTCCTCTGTGTAATGGGAAGCCAATGGAGATGGGCGAGGATTGGGGTGATAGGGTCACGGAGCCTGGTACGGGAGAAGACACAGGCTGCAGACTTCTGGATGATCTGCAGCCTACGGAGGAAGGAGTTGGGAAGGCCGACAAGCAATGAGTTTGCATAGTTAAGGCTTGATGTAATTAAGGCACGTATGAGAGTTTCGACGGCCTGCGGTGTGAGACAGTAGCGGAGCCGGATGATGTTACAGAGGTGGGGGAAGAGAGTGCGGGTCATAGCACAGATTTGGTGTAGAAAGGATAGTTGGGAGTCAAACAAGATCCCAAGGTTCCAGACTGGCTTAGCAAGGTGGTGTTCAACCATTTAACTGATTATAAGTAATACATAATGCAATGAACAAGCATAATTCCTACATAAAATGGACATTTCCAAAATGGAAATTAGGATTACATAAAGCAATGTACCCCAAATCATTGGTTCCTCTAAACACCCGCTTCCTGATGAAACCAATCTATTATTGTCAGAGTTTATCAGACATTCTACTGATAACAGCAAAGGAAACACATTTCAAAGGATCTGATAGTATTTCTAACTTCAAGGAGTGGTTAATTTTATATCATGCCCTTGGTTAGAAAACAAAGCAACGTGTAAGTAATCGTCATCTACTGATTTGCCAAAGAAATTGCATTTTAAAATATTACTGCAAGTTTTCTCAGTATTACCAAAATGTTTTCAGTAAATTCAGCTAACTTTGAGAAAAGTAAACTCTGTGCTTTATATGCAGTTTGTAATGAATATGAAGATTTTAGTGTGCACGTGTGCACATTTTAGATGATGCATCAATGGGATCCAATTTTCAGGTTGTATTAACAATGTGTACAAAGGGAATTAGAAAACTCTAAATTATATAATTAACCAATAAAAAAAGATTGTGATAGAATCTTTCAGCACCATTCGGCTCATCCAACCCATGCTGGCTCCCTCCAAGAACTATCTGTTCACCATGCCTTTCCCCTTAAATTTTTATTTTTCAGATACTTATCTAATTCTCTTTTAAAAGCTATTATGGATTCTGTTTCATGGATTCTGCATTGAACACATCAAACCATCCAGTAGATTTCACTTTACTACCGCGGCAGTGGAATGTAGTTGAAATTCATATCTAGTTCCCTGATTTGAGTGTGCAGAATGGATAGAACTTGAAGCAATTCACAGCCTTTTCAAGAAGCAGACTGCAATATTGCCTTGGGGTCCCGTTGCTGTGGAGTTGACCCCATTTATACCATGGAGCAGTTTCCACAGCAGCCAGAACAACAGAGAAACAACTGAGTATGTGGCTCGCGAGGGTTTCTGGCAGTATCTTTCCAAATGGCTGAGGCAACTGTTCAAGCCAGCGAGCGCAAAACGGTCTGTTCTGAGCTGGCTAAGATGCTCAGCCACCGATGGCCAAAAATACTAAAGCAGCTCTATTGGATTTTGTGGTGGAAGATGGCAGAAATGTCATTTTGAAATCATTTAAATCCAAAATTGAAATATCAAATGACTTGTCATATGAACAAGTTTATCAACACAACTCCAAAACTGGACACCTGCTCGCCACTCAAGAGAAAACTGCAACTTGGCAAGCACTACCACTCTACACTAGAGAAGAACTTTTCCCAAAATCTGATGGGATTAGAATTGGCTAACATTTAAAACAATAATCCTTGCAATTGATATAGTGAATTTCACATCAGGCGGAGGTAGCAGAGAGATTTAATGTAAAGTGTAGTGACTGCATATTTTGTAGCAGCCAATTTGTACCCACTGATATTCCATAAACAGCCATGAAGAGAGTGACACATTTTATCTAGAGGGTTGTTGGTCAGGAAACTGGGAGAAACTCCTTTTCTTTTCGAAAGATGCCTTGGGATCTTTAACTCCCACCTGAACAGGCAGGTTTTAAATCATCTTAACGTCTTATCCGAAGGAACACACCTATAACAATACAGTACACCCCCAGTACTGAATTAGGGTCAGTCTGATCAATATGAGTTCAAAGTCCTGACATGGGCTTGAACACTACTCTTCTGACTCAAGCAAGAGTGCTACCAACTGAGCTTTCTACCAATACCTTGAGCTGCAAAATGTTCACACCCAATATGGTTTTCCTAAAGAGCAGATTTAATTCCCACTATTCTGAGATGCTACTAATTAAACTGCTGTCTCAAAGCTTCTGATAATAAAGACATAAAAATATTCTCATACAGATTATATACAATCTGTCCTGTCACATATTTTAAGAGACTAACTCAAATGATTTTAGAGATTCACTAAACATTCTCCCAAACCCTCAAAGATAATTAGAGAACAGAATCTCTTGGGGAGTACTTTATGTTCATAATCCTCCCTGTTGGAAAATTACACTGTAAAAAAACCAATTGTTACAAAGTACGTTTGTGTATCAAGCACAATCTCAACTGCTAAAGCAATACACCATTAGTGCAAGCCAAATCTTCCTACACACGTAATTAGAAATTCCTACACACATAATTAGTAGATTGTCATTATCCTCAAGTCATTCAACAATACTTGTACAAGACCCGAAGAGCCTTTCTCATCCAATCTTGTGATATAAAATTGGTCATTTACATCATGACAAACATTGATGCAAATGAGCTTCTTTATTCGCCTACACAATACAGTCACTGCACTTCGCACTTAAATAATAATAAATAGTAAACCTTGCATTTGATATAGCGCTTTTCACGTCTTCTAGATGTTTCAAAGCACTTGTAAAGGAAATCGACTGTATATTTTGTGGGCGAAACGCCCACAAAATCAACCCTATGAAGCGCTTTTAGACTTCCTCCAGATGTGAAAGGCTCAATATCATATTTTGCTTACCAATTTTGTGCAAGTTTCATGGCTAATTTTAAATTAACCACAGAAATCTTTAATCTGAACTCAGTGGTTTTGTTTCATATCATTACTAAATGTTCTCTGTAGGTCAGTCAAGAGAAATAAGATGTAGACCCTTACTGTAGTAACCTATTCAGTTACTGAAACACAATTCTATGGTTGCTCAATAAAATACAATATTCAACTTACCCTTTATTGAAATACTTCCAATTAGCATATTTATTTTCCGCAAATCTCCAGCTTCATTATCCTCATCTTGGCCATCGTCATACTGTTCCTCAATAATGACGTCAGGACTGAACCGATGCTCTTTAACTTTGTCCTTTATTGCTGAATTATTAGCTCCATCTGATACATCAGATTCACAAACTCCAGCGGCATCAGATTCACCTCCTTCAGGTAAGGTAACCTGCGGAAAGATGAGATTTTTTAACCTTTTATTTATGAGAGCTATGAGGAAAACATCAACGGAGTAGTGTTTGCAGAATGCAGAAAAGGAAGATCAGAGTCACAATTCTGGAGTCATAAACAAACCATTTTTAAAACATCTGCCTATTATCTCCCATTAATTTTCTGAACTACATGGTGGATGATTCTGTTAAAACTAAAAACAATGTAGCAACAAATATGCAATTTTAGGCACAGGAAAATAAGAAAATGTTATTTGCAATAATCCCCAGGTAAATCAGGGTAACACTTACAAAATCGAATTAATCATGTTGAAATTGGAAACAAGATAGGGTTCAGACACATTTGTAGACCCACTTTCCAACAAATCCATTTTCAAAAGGCAATCTGAATTGAAAAAAATCCGACAATCAATTGCTCAAAAATTTTTCAAATGCAGTTAAACAGAGAAACATTTGCAAAGATTCATCAATTGATCAGAATTCACTTGCAAAACTGGTTTCTGGTGCAGAGAACACCAGGTGGCGATCTATTAAAGTTGTTGGGCTAAATCCAGCTTCACCACAATGACATCTGTGAGGTACTGAGTGTGCATTTTTGTGAAAACAAACTGTTTATATACATGAAACCTGAATAGATGAATTTGTCCTAATTTTGAATAGTATCTCGCATTTTATCAGAAAAAAGCAAATTTTGAAGCAATGAAGATCAAACATTTCGAAAACATTGTTTATGTGTTAAGGTCCGGTTGAGGCAGAATCACAGAATCATTGTTAACTTTTAAGTGACAATTAGATAAATACCTGAAAAAAATACAAAAAGGGTATGGGAAAAAGCAGGAAAATGGAAGTAAACAGATAACTCTTCCAGAGGGCCAGCACACTCGCAATAAGCCAAATGACCCCATACTGCACTGTAAATTTCTATGGCTCTCTGGTCCATTGTTACAAGGACAGACACTAGCACTTTGGGGGAAAACTCTACATATATATCTTTCTTCTGTTACTACAACATGTCTACTATATATTAGTGGTTAAAAATATAAGTTTCAGTCAACAAAATGGATCAAATACAAAATTTAATTCAAAGCGTTTTTAATATTATAGGATTCTATTTTAGAACTAAGTAAAGTACGCGTTGGCCCACAAGTATTGAGAGACTATTCTGAAAGTAAGTTTTTGTCCCATTTGTAGAGCAAAGAGGGAAACTAGCTGTATTTTTTCTGTATATACAAAGTATTCTTGAGGAAGTGATTACACATATAACATGCAAACAAAATTGTTTCAGCGTAAAATGGCAAAGCAATTATTCCAACTCCTTGCTTCTTTCTGCTTTACCATGCACTCAAAAACTCCAAGAGTGGTGCATCACGTTAATAAGTTTTCACTGTATTTGTATGAATTGCTAAGTGGTAAGACATTGGAAAAATCTTATCTGATTCACACTTCAAATTGCATTGTTATAAAACATTTTTATTTAAGACAAATCTTATGTTACTCAACATAAATCAATTACTTCTTCATGACTTCAATGCATGAGCTGACAAACCTAACGTCAGTGTCAAACAATATTTGAGAAAACTTTTGTTTTAAAAAAAGAGACTGCAACAGTTTGTATAACAAAGGAGTGTGTTCTGAAGCCTTTTCTCTCATACATCTAATACAAACTAACAGCAGGATGTATTGTTTTCACAATGGGTAGTGATCTTTTAGATCTGTTTGAACTCTTTACAGTTCGACACAGTTAGAAATCAACAACAAAATGACATTTGTAAAGCGTCTTTCACGTCGGGAGGACGTCCCAAGGCGCTGGACAGAGTTACGGACCCGAGGGTTAGGTGGGGGAGGGTTGAGGGCAGGTGGGGAAGCAGGGAGATCGAAAGCACGGTCAAAGAGGAGGATGCTGCGGTGGGTCTTGAAGGTGGCGAGGGATGGGGGCGAGGCAGAGGGACTGTGGGATGGAGATCCAGAGGGTGGGGACAGAGTAGCGGAAGGCCCGCCCGCCAATAATGGGGCGAGCAAGGCGGGGGAACGTGAAGCAGGCCGGAGCCCGCTGAGCGGATGGAGCGAACAAGATGGTAGGGGGCTAGGAGGTCGGAGAGGTGGGGGGAGCAAGACTGTGGAGGGTTTTGAAGGTGAGGACCAGGATCTTGAACTGTATCTTCTGTGTGATGGGAAGCCAGTGGAGTTGGGCAAGAATGGGGGTGATAGGGTCACGGAGTCTAGTGCGGGGGAGGACACGGGCTGCAGAGTTGTGGATGATCTGCAGCCTGTGGAGGGGGGAGGCCGACAAGCAGTGAGTTTGCATAGTCGAGCATCAATGTAATGAAGGCGTGTATGAGGGTTTCAGCTGCCTGTGTTGTGAGACAGTGTCATGGCAGCACTCTTCCCTTTGAGTTAACCCTAACCCTAACCCACTTCAGGATTTGAACTAATAATCCCAGCTGCAACTCCAGCACAATACTGGGGGAATAATCCCTCCCTTCCACAAAAAGGCTGCTTTCAGCCTAGATCATCGTGTGTCTACTAGTTAAAAGGGAGCAGAGGTCCATTCCTCTTGAAATTACCCAGTTCCTTTTTGTGCACAAGTCTCTCTTTTGTGCACAATTCTCTCGTATTCCAGTAGTTTAATGTTAATAAAGGAACACGGCGTGCACATAATAGAACGTTACTGAGCATCCAATGTATCTTTTAGGGCACAGCATCAGCAGTAAGAGATTACCCAAGTGATATGAGCTGTGTGGAGGTCAGAAAAGCACAAATAGGAAAATCAAAATTTTACTATTTTTTTTCCTATAATATATACACACATTCCAGAGCACTGAAGCACATCTCCATGGTACTGGGTGTGCAGGCTGAACAAGACAAATTCAACACAAAAGGATCATGAAAGCTTGGGCCTGGAAATGGGCATTAGCATCACGCGTATGAATGGAGGATGTTTGTCAGCAATGTTAATGCCCAATATCACGAAGTGTTGGGAGGGGTGGAACAAGATTTCAGAAAAAAAGAATCTACGGGAAAGTAAAGGATGGGCCTGGTTGCTGAAAGGGTAGCGGGTTATAATAGTGAAGAAAGGTGATACAACAAAGATCATTCCTGTATCTAAATGACAGATACGACTGAGAAGCATAATAAAAACAGAGGTTAACAAAATATTATTGATAACCTAACCAAAGAATAAGATTTACCGATCCAGTAAGGTTTTCCTCAAATCAATCAAGGGTATTCTATAAGTTTGAAGTCCACATCAATTACTGAAATACTCCCTTGAAAATGTCGTCCAAAGGCCATTTGACTTCCCTTTGAAATATCATAAATCAACTCAAATTCAACATACACAAGTGGTCGGGCGTTCCACTTCCTCACAATCCCTTGTGTAAGACAATTTCTTCTACGTCTAGTAATCTGGTCACTATTGTTACTGATTCTGCAAACACTTATAACCCCCTCAAACCCTTTATGATTTTGAACTCCTCTATTAAGTGCCCTTAACCTTCTCTGTTCCAGGAATACAGCCTCAATTCTTTTCAAGCTGATAAAAAAAGATGTTTTTTTTTAAATGAATGGCACTATGTAAATACAAATGGTATATTGCCACGTCATCCTAGAAAATTTAAACTGCAATCTTTACAGTGAACCTCACAGTTGGGACCATAACATTTAATATGACTTATGCAAAGTAGGAGTTATGGCAAACTTGCATAAGTTGCATCATATATGACTTATGTAAGATTTTATGTGGTTTTTATATGACTAACACATAACAAATACACAAGTACTGTACTGGCTGGTGCCCTGGCTACTATGGTCCTGGCTCTCTCACTCACTGTTTCTATCTACCCCCACTCTCTCACAATCACTCTCATCCCATCTCACTCTCTCTGTTTCTCTCTCCCCCCCTTCTCTGTCAATCACTCTCTCTCCCTCTCTCTGTCAATTACTGTTGAGCTTTGAGGCGCGCATGTGTGCTGTTTCATTTGAAACAGAGTTTTACCCCAGCAGCTGGTAAGTTCGGTAGCGGCAACAACAGTTATGCAGTTGTTAATACAACTAGTGCATATAAATTTAAGTGGATTTAATACGAAATTGAACGAGACTTTGGCAGATATACGACTTAGGCAATTACACAATTTATACAGATCAGATCTCTGTGAATTTTACTGTATGTTGCTCTGATATTCTTTCTATATGAGGTGCTTGAAGCTGCATAGAATACTTCAGATGTGACCTAACCATGATTTTACATGGCTAGATTAGTATCAGACAAATTTGTGGTCAAAAAGTGAGTTAAGCAATCCTGTACTGAGCCACATGGTGTTCTACAGGTTTATTATTAACATAGAAAGCATTTCACTAATCATTGCTTGAAGATTGTGTGTTCTAGGAAAATAAAATACAAACAGGCTTCCTGTCTTACCACAAGGTTTTCTTCTCTCCCTGGGGTCATCCACCTAGTGGAAATAGCTTTTCAATTCTTGTTTTATGTGGAGCATAATAAAGTGCAGAAAAAATCAGCTCTTGATAAAAATGAAGTGCAAAATTACTTAAGACAAGGCACTAAGTTGGAACCTCAAGCCTGCCTGGTCCTTTTAACAGACCACATAAAGCTAATCAGCTACAGTAAAACTCACATAAGTCTTATGCTTATAAATCGTATAATCGCCTAAGCTGTACATTCACCTGAGTCCCATTCAGTGTCCTATCAAAACCACTTAGAATTCTTTGCACTTCTCGTATAATAATCTTTGCATTTGATAACGCACTTTTCATGTCTTCTAGACGTCTCAAAATGCTTCATAGAATATACTGTAAAGTGAATTGACTGTATATTTGTGGGCAAAACGCGGCAGCCAATTGTGCACAGCAGTGTCCCACGAACGGATTGAAGTGACCAATTTATTGTCTTTTTTTTTCTTGAAGGATTATTATCAGGCATGTGGAGTAAGGAAACTTGCCCAAGGTTTCGCCCTGCCGGGAATCGAACCCAGGTCTCTCGCTTACAAAGCTTAAAACAAGACACTAAGTTGGAATCTCAAGAATGCCTGGTCCTTTCACCAGACCACATAAGGCTAATCAGCTACAGTAAAACTCACTTAAGTATGTGAGTTGAAAATTTATATACAATATTCAATTAATGATTTTGAACACATAAAAAACAATGAAAATCTAATGAAATGCATTTTAACTGCCCTTGGTAAAAAATCAAGCAATCATTCAATTTACTGTTAGCAATACAGTACTTAAGGACATAGAAATTACGTAGAAAGGCCATTCAGCCCACTGAATCTATGTTAGCGCCAGATCCTCCAATGGAGCTAACTACTCTAATCTTAATTTTCTTCTCCCTCCCCATACCCTTTTGTATGGTTTCTCTTCAAACGTTCATTCGAGTCCCTTTTTAAATGTTGGTTCTGCCTCTTGCCACTTCCGGTAAAGAATATGTCAATGGAATAAGACATTTAGTATAGTAACCAGGGAGAGGGGGGCAAGTGAGAGAAAAGATAAAATTGTAAACGTAGACATCTCGCCTTTAAGAGAAACTCAGCACCAATGTGTGACTCCTGAACACTCGCCATGATTTCTCTTAGTATGAAGTTCCAGCATCCTAATGAAGCCCAGAGCACATGCATTTTTAGCACATTTTACAAGCTCAGCAAAGATACAAAGCAAAACACTGTTGAGAAAGTTTAGGTTTAAGCCAAGAAAAGCAATTTAACTTTCCACAGTTCACTTTGGCTTCTGGCAATAGTCCTTTCCTGTAAAAGCTACATTTGAAACCTGTCATATTAAGTAACAATTTATGGAAGTTCTCAGGGGTATTCTTACTAGTGGGAACTTCCTTTTGGTGGCCTACTCTGAACTACAGTAGCAATTATTTATTTATTGGGAGAGGCAGATCATTATAATGTGATACGGTTGGATTATTGCAAACACTTTCAGGACCTTTGATGTGAATGCTGGAACCACAGTTATATTTCAATAAATAAATTTCTCTTTTGTCAAATCAGTTCATACTGAGATTGAAAAGGATGTACTGAAACGTTATGGGCAGTATAAGTATGCATTTAACTATGCTCCAGTTATAATCATGCAATAATTTAATTTCTATGAACATTAAAATAATGATTAGATACATAGTTCAGCGATTTGAGAATCAATTACTGATTGGAGTACATTTATCTGGTCAAAGAAAAACAAAGAATATTTTTGTTGGGGAAGGCAAGGGTTATTTTCAGATATGAATCTACTCTTTTCCCTTTTGTGTACTCAATATAAAAAGTTGTTTTCTTAATCCTACCCAGTAGGAGAAATGTTTTTAATCGTTTTCCTGCACTCTTGTGGAGAACAGATGTTTCAGGTCTGCAAGCTGCTGGACAGCCACTCAGCAGACGTGAACCACAGGATCTGTTAGCAGGGTCTCAAATAAATCAATTTGGATATGCATCTGTTTTGCTCTTTGATACGGATCTCAAGTACCTCTATGTACTTGGAAAACAAACATTCACACAGAATATCAATGTGGCAAAAGAAGGGAAGAGAGGAGAAATGTTTGTATTGAAAATAATGTTCCTCTCCAAAGCAATATTTTTCTTTAGCTATTTTCTGGAAGATTTCAGGATAAACTCTATTGAAGCCACATTTTTAAATAACATGCGTGAAACAATTCAGCAAAACTAATTTTAATTATTAGTAAAATGCACTCAATCCGAAAGGAAGTCACAGCAGATATTTTGAAATAAAAGCATGACCTCAATAAGTTGATAAAACATTAAAGTAAACTTCTGGATGGTAAAATGGGAATTTTCTCCTCCTCCCACCAATGTTCCTCTGTGATTCCAGTATCAAAAGATCACAAACCAAGAACAGCGTCTCATTTGTCGCTTTCAGGATAAAGTTTTACACCACTCACTCAGTGTGTCCGATCCTAAATCATGACATAACATTGACAAGGCCATTTCCCTTTCCTGTCTTTCCTTGCTTTGAAAGTTCTGGCACACTCAGCACCACACCCAACTGTTCATATTCTATTGTAACATATTGCCAAACTTGCTACACCCATGGGAAAGAAGTACTAATAACCTACAAAGCTAAGTGGATATACATTCACATCACTATTTTTCCCCATATAAATAAACAGTCATTCACTGTTGCTCACAGTTTCTCACCACCTTTCTATACAGGGTAACCACCCTTCCTGGTGAGGAAATCCAAAATGCTTGGGACTTTTTCTTTTTAAATAATGGATCCAAACTTATAGATAGGAGTTGGTATCCACACTGATAAATAGAATTACATTTCAACAAAAAAATTCAGTTAAAATCTTGAAAAAGATGCAAAGTTAAATAATCAAACATATACAACAACAACAAATTACATTTATAGAGCGTCTTTCACGTCGGGGGGACGTCCCAAGGTGCTAGACAGTCGGAGGTCAGAACCCGAGCATGGGGGAAGGGTAGGATAGGGGTGAGGGAAGGCAGAGAGGTGAGAGGGCAACTCAAGACACGATCGAAGAGGAGGGTCTTGAGACCGGCCTTGAAGGAGGCAAGGGAAGAAGCGAGGCGAAGGGACTGTGGAATGGAGTTCCACAGTGTGGGGGCAGAGAGACTGAAAGCCCAGCCACTAACGGTAGGGCGGGTTGGGAGGGAGACATGGAGCAGGCCGGAGCCCACTGAACGGAGGGAGCGGGCAGGTTGGTAGAGAGTCAGCAGGTCAGAGAGATAGGAGGGGGCAAGGCCATGGATGGTCTTGAAAGTGAGGACGAGGATCTTGAATTCAATCTTCTGAGGGATGGGGAGTCAGTGGAGTCGGGCAAGGGAGGGAGTGATGGGGTCACAGAGCCTGGTGCGTGAGAGTACATGAGCTGCAGAGTTTTAGATAATCTGCAGCTTGTGAAGGGAAGAGTTGGAAGGCCGATGAGGAGGGAGTTTCCATAACCGAGCCTTGATGCGACGAATGTGTGGGTGAAGGTTTCGGCAGCCTGAGGGGTTGAGGCAGTGGCGGAGTCTGGCAATGTTGCGGAGGTGGTGGTCGGATAGGCAGTCGGTCAGGATGCCAGTAGTCCTGGAGTTGAGGGTGATAGAGACAGAGTTGGGTGTCATCTACATACATGTGGATATTTACCCCATGTCTGCAGATGATGTCACCAAGGGGGAGCATGTAGAGGGTGAAGAGGAGGGGACTGAGAACGGAGCCATAAGGAATGCCACACGAGACGGTGCGGGGGCTGGAGGAGAAGCCGTTTGCAGAGACGAAGTGGAGGCGGTGTGAAAGGTAGGACCTGAACCAGTCAAGCACAGAACCTTGAAGGTTGAGGTATATATAGCGATACATATGTTGTCATTTTGCATTTCTTGGGTTCTAAACTGAAATTCCTGTTTACCAGAAACAAATGTTGGTAGACTGACAGGTATCTAGCATTAGACACTCAGGTGCTAACTCAATTTATGCACAACACATAAAATAGATGTGTGTGGGGGTGCGGTGGGAGGTGAAGTGGGGATAGAGAGAATCACACTTTCTAGTAAATGAGTTAGTATTGCACTACATTTGCACAGGGAGTGACTGTGATTGGGGACAAAACTAAATTTACCATCATGAAATTGATTTTATATCAATTTTCGATCTCACACCTACCTTCCACTGTTCACTGGGCAGAAGCTTTACCACGACCACATCACCATTCAAAGCTCTGTTTCGAGCAACAAATCCGTCAATAAAAATATCTCGATTTCCATCCTAAAAGAAAAAAAGGATAATTGATCAATAATGAAATTATAAAGAATACTAAGAAACAAATGGCAAAATAATAGCTGGCATGAACAAATATTTCCAGAGATATAGTTTCCATAGTGCTGAACTGAGGTGCAGGGTAATAGTTAATAAAAATGATAATCCTTTCATTTGATATAGCGCCTTATCACATCTTCAAGATGTCTAAAAGTGCTTCACAGAATATACTGTAAAGTGAATTGTCTGTATATTTTGTGGACGAAACGCGGTAGCCAATTGCGCACAGCAGTGTCACAAACAGTCGTGGAATTGAGTAACCAATTTCTTTTTATTATTTTATTTTAAGGAATTATCACCCCAGGAATGCGCCAAATGCTTTACTGCTCCTGGGTTCCTACATACTGCTAGGAAAACAAAGGCAAGTAGAGTAAGGAAACTTGCCCAATATTTTGCCCTGCTGGGAATTGAACCCAGTTCTCTCGCTTGCGAGGCAAGTGCTCTAACCACTGAGCTACAGGATTCCACTAATAATTATCTTTAGATGGTAGTTGGGCAGGTTTGAACAAAGGAAATCTAGGGATGGATTCTGGAGATTTTTCTTGATTACCCTGGGGAATAAGGGAGTGTCGCTAGGAAATTGACATAGTGGGGTGGATTCACAATAGAGTAAATGCATGGTGCATGACAGGAATGAGTTTAATGGAATAAAACGGTCTTTTCTTGGTTCATCATTCAAATCACAGCAATGATCACTCTATTGAGAACATTAGTAACTATCATTTTCAGGATCAAAACTTGGTCATAACTACTTTTAGACAGCTCAATTTCTTTATCTGCTTATCCTTAAAAATAAAAATGTAACTAATCAAGATGAGACTCCAAACCGATAATACAAGTCCCAACTAATGTATAAAGCTTTAATAATCACAGTAAAGCATTTTACGTGAAATCAATCATTCCCATTGATCTTTCACCAACTAAAACTCATTCTTTCCTGCAACACAACAACAAAATTACATTTGTAAAGCGCCTTTCACGTCTGGAGGGCGTCTCAAGCCGCTGAACAGTCGGGGATCAGTAAGGGGGGCAGGGTTGTGATGAGGGAGGGCAGTGACGTAGGAGGGCAGCTCAAGGCACGGTCTTAAAGAAGGGTCTTGAGTCATGCCTTGAAGGAGGCAAGAGAGGGAGCAAGGCAAAGGAATTATGGGATGGAGTTCCAAATGTTTGGGGCAGAGAGACTGAAAGCCCGCCACCGATGGTAGTGTGGGAGATATGGAGCAGGACGGAGCCAGTTGAGCAGAGGGAGTAGGTTTCAGCAGGTCATAGAGGTAGGAGGGGGACACGGCTGTGGATGGCCTTAAAAGTGAGGGCGAGGATTTTGAATTCTATCCTCTGAGGGATGGGGAGCCAGTGGAGCCGGGCGAGGGTGACGGTGATGAAGTCATGGAGCCTGGCGCGGGAGAGATCACGAGCTGCAGAGTTCTGGATGATCTGCAGCTTGTGGATGAAGAAGTTGGGGAGGCTGACAAGGAGGGAGTTTCTGGAGTCAAGGAAACTCCTTTAGGTGACGAACGGGTACACACAAAGAACAACAGTATATTTTTTCACAAAGATGATATAATAATTTTTTGCATACTGAGCCATACTTATGGAGAGGTATATAGGGGATTGCTAATTTTCCATTTGCTAATTGTTAGCACTGCTAACAATTCACACTGAGCTTTAGAGTCCCATAGATTAGTTGTTAGCCAGCTCGTCTTGCAAGTGAGAGGACCCGGGTTCGATTCCCAGGCGAGGCAAAACCTTTGGCAACTTTTTTTACTCTACATGGCGTGGTTTACTTAGCAGTAAGTAGGAACCCGGTTGTTAGTCGATTGACGGGAGGAATAAAATTTAGTTTCTAAGTTAATGCTCCACTGCTCATCACCACTCCTCAATCCGCCTGCAAGCATTAAAAGCTTAAAAACTTCATTCTTATAATAATGTTTGCATAGTGTGCACACAATTTTAATCTGTACTTGGATTTCAAACCAGTCTCCAAATAAACAGCAAGTATGGAAGCACTGTATGTCCAAATAAAATAACCAGTGCTAACCACAAGTAATAGATTCCCCAAAATGCTTATTTTAAGTTATAATTTATTTTACATTATAAAATGTCAGTTAATTACAGATAAAAACCACAATGCAAAACGAGTATATATAGACAGAAAATATAAATTACATTTTACATTTTTAAAGCACTTTTCAAGTCAGGAGGATTTCCCAAAGCGCTGAAATCACATCAATGAGATGCACAATTCTGATAACATCTACCAGCGACTTATAGATAAAAATAGTAGATGATGAGCCACAAATCCTGCCAACTAAATGAAAATTTTACCTTAAATTGTGCTGTAAAAATAATACAATCCTATTGGGATACCAGACTGTTAAATACACTACAATTTGCTACAAAATGTGTTTGGTGCACAAAAACCTTGGACAAGAGAATAAAGCATTGTGCCAAAACAAGCTTTAAGATACCCTGAAAATAATTTTTACTTACAGGAGAAGGAATAAAAGCATCATGGTACTTCTTTGGATTTATTCTCAGTGGACCCTGTAAATGCCAATGGAAAAAGTGAAAATCTTAATTTTTCAGCAGAACATTTTGAATCATGCATCAAACACTTACTTCAAGTAATTCACTCACTATAATATCAACGAGTAAACTGCCATGAGACAGCTCACAAAAGTGTTTTTTAAAAAAAACACAATGTGAACAATGTGAAAAGGGTAAGAAAACAACATTGATACAAAAATATTCCAAAAAATACTCGTCTCTCACAAGCAATTATCCCTTCAAATCAATACAATATAACCTCCACATAATACATAATTTAGTACTTTATATAAAAGCTGTACAAAGGAAACTTCTCCTACAGACAAGCTTTAAAAAGGACTGAATGCATTAAAGTTTGAACTAGCTACAATTGTTAATTGGTAGGTCATTCAGCCCCTCAAGCCTGTTCTGCCATTCTGTAAGATCATGGCTGATCTGTACCTCAACTCCAATACACACATCACCTTTTAATCTGCCACACATTCTGCCTGCATGTACTGTAAAAGCAACTTCAAAAGCGGATAATTAAATTACTTTAGAAAACTTTGATAACGTGAGTGGTTCATCCTACAAGTTAAACATAATAAAGGTTCCCAATTGTTCTTAGAATATCTTCATTATCCTGTGTGTTCGGAAACCATCAGATATTGGAGTTTTCAAATTGGCGCGGTGCAACATGATCTTTTTGGCTTTAAAATCAGCTTGATTCTCCACTGAAAATGTTAATTGGTTTTACTTATAATAAAAATAATCCTTGAATTTAGTATTGTACCTTTTACGTCTTCAGAATATCTCAAAGCGCTTCACAGGAGTCAATCTGTAGTCTAGTGCAGTTATTTTAGGTGGATTTTGTAACATTTTAGTGCACCTATGTAAAGGTCTATGCTGGAAGCATAACCTTTCTCACTTTACAAGCTTACATATCTCTATAATGAGTTTAAATACCAAATCAAACTATACAAGCTAACTTTTAAAAAAATTGTCAGAAAAATACTTCTCCATAATAATTAGGTCTTTTTAGGACTAGATACAATAATGGTCATGAATCTTCAAGGACTTTTTAAAGATATTGCCTGAAGAATTTAGAAGAAAAATATAGTAGCTTAGATTTATGTATTTCAAGTTTTTAGATACTGTTTGTTGTCAAGAGAAATAAGGGTATTTGAGGCATTCTGTCACCTATATATTTGTGTTTTAAATTGCCTACCTACCAAATGTGCAAATTTTGCACCAATTAAATTGTACTCAGTATCAAAGCAAAATCCTTCTTAACAGAGGGTAAGTTTCATCAATTGTTGCACACATATCAACCTTATGCCTGTTTCTGCATTTCAAATTATCATCACCAAATGTCTCACAGAACTGAGGAGACAGCTAAAGAAATTCTGCGAGCAAGGTAAAAACAAACAAAATCATGTCAAGTATGGGAATATGGGCTCCCCAGTAAAAGTCATTTCTACTGAAATAGAATTAACATTTCTATTTAACTCTTATTAAACCAGGATGAAATCATGGATCAGACAACAGTTCTGCTACTGAGAATAATGGTGTCAAAGGTACGTACAAAGTTTGGCAACAATTCAGAGATTTTTATGGATGTATCACAGATACTCATTTATCTGAGCAATGTTCACAAGTATAAGATGCAAACACATCACGGGTCTGGGGTGTAAATACTAATTTGACATAGTTCCCCAGGAATTGTCGGTGAGCATTCATGCTGTAGCACTCCATGGGAGATCAACCAAAATATAGTTTTTTTTTGCAATCACAAGGGCTTCCTACTCCCCTTAACACAAATATTAGGAAATATACTACAACCTAAAAATTGGCCTACTCCTTTCGGTGGAGTAAATATGACGTTCACATGCTGGCTACTGCTCTGCTGCAAGATCAAATTCCTAGAGCCACTCACAGCCTGCCAACCACTCAGTTCATTGTGACCCCACACATTGCACTGGAGTGGTATTTGTTTAATTTAAAATTAAAATGAATAAAAACAATCTCTGTGGTTTGGTAAGTCGTCAGCACACCTGATATGATCAGTGACCTGTTCATGACATCATGCAGCACCCAGCAGCTGTATCAACAGCAGCCACAGAGCCTGCATTGTGATGTCAACTCACCTGGCCGGCGGCGGCCTAGCAACAGAGGAGAAACATCCCCGAGACACAAGAGAAACAAAGACATAGACAACCTTCCTCCTCTGTTCTCCTCCCACCCCAAACTCTGTTGACATCAAAACCGGCTGTACTTTTGCACTGATATACTTATCCCCTCTTAAACACTGCTTCAGTTTCAACTAAAAATCAAATCTAATTTTCTTGGGAGTGAACGCATTGTTTTGGAGCGAGGGGGCCATGAGAGCAGAGAGACTCATTAAGCCCAAGAGGAAAAGGCTAATACATTGTATTACTCCACATAACATCTCTTCAGTTTATGATCTTTAGCAGGCAACTAGAGCCAAATAAACCCTATTTAGAGATTTAATCCATTGCCACATGGGATAATGACTCATTATCACAGTATCATTTCATTCCAATCTCAATAGAATACTTTTGAAATGCAATGGGTGGTCACAGACTTAGTTTATCTTACCTGCCAGGGAGTAGTAAACGTATGGAAGAGGCTTCCTAGGGAAGCAGAAAATGGCATTTGTTTCAAGAACAAATTAGATAGATTTCTACTAGAAAATAATCTCTCAAGATACAGTATATAGTTTGGGACACGACATGTAAAGCGACTGCCGGAATGGTGGAAGGTACACTAGATGGATCTTGGTCTTCTTTCGCCAGCAAATTCTTATGTTCTGATGATAGAAATATACCCATCAACTGAGTGATAATTCAAGGGAAGAAAAGTCTAAATCTTCAGTGCAGTCTTGAAACTTACTCATATTAGAAATCTCACCTGGATAAATTCTCCTTTCTTTAAACCAGCTGAAACATCACTGGTTGGCATGTACGTGTCAAATATCTTCTTCCTCCCTCGGCCAGATCTGGTCTTGTTTCGCTTCTTGTCATTAGGAGTTGAATTTGTGCTCGGATTACTCACTGCTAATGTAAAGGACAGTTAAGAGGTTATCAAAATTATGATTACTTTCTCCAATTTATACCTTTATAAATTTACAGCTTTTCAACAATATAGGCCTGAAGAAAATCCCGTGAGTACTAAAAGCATAACGAAGACTGCCTAAAACTGAAGGTAAAGTTAGATATTCAAGGTTGCTTTTAACAAACAGGTTTGCTGACCTTCATTTCTTCAAATACTGTATCCACACCCTCCATGGGCTGCTGAGTTCCAGCACCAGCTGTAACAGCTTGCACCTAAGCAGCATCTTTCGCATAGTTTGTATTGTGTATGTGAACTGACCAAAGGCATGACTGAAGTGATAAGTAATTAAGAGCGTTTTGAAAGTAAAGAGCGAGAAAACAAGGGAAAAGTGGGAAGATGTCAAAATCTTCCAACTTTTAACTTGAGGGAACTGGACTTCAGGTCTACAAATTCCGTAAATACTTAAATTTCCTTTGTTCCTACAGTAGCAAATTCTCCAACAGGGTTCTTTAGGAATGATAACACTATTGCCCTCATACCATTGGCATACATTCAGTTATGCCAATATTCATGAGAATTGGCATAAATTCAGTTGTGCCAATATTAATGAATTATCATTTCTGCATCGCTTTTCCACTCTCTCCATCCACCCTGATTTAAATATTTTAAGGAGAGCTAACCTGGACCTGGTCAATTCTCAGAGGTATTTTATCCTACCTTTTTACAGCTCAACATTTCTAGACTGGACCCAGAAACAGAGCGGAGGGAGAAGAGATTTGCTTGGATACATAGTACTCTACCACATTTCTGTCAACAACCTAATAACATTCATAAATTTGAAGATAAGATTTTTTTACATTTAAAAATTCAAAAACTGTTTTGTATGAATCCTAATAAGTCAACATATTCTGAAAGTGTTCAACAGTTAAGATTGATAACTGACATTTAATCTTGTGATGTTCTTTACTGTCATGCAACAGATAGCTTTAAAAACTAAAACAGATACCATCATATATTTATCATATTAGAGGTTATGCCTAGCAATTTCATCTCTTAGGGGAGAAAGAAAAAAGAATCAAAATATTTTACCACCAAAAAAAATTAAATATTTACGCATCATACCCTTTGGGATCCCTGGTTTAGAATTCATTTTCTCTGCTCCCTCCAATGATTCAGATTTCTGTCTTCTGTCAAAATGTTGTATATTTTTGGCTGCTACAGAATTGTTCCTAGCTTTTCCACCAAATCGCTTGTCTGCAATTCCACCTGGAGTCAATTAAAAGATTTAAGATATAGGTTATTTAAATTTTTGTATACCAATATATAAACATCAGCAGCTCCATTCTAGTTTTTTTTCATTTAACAAAAGGCTCCATTACGCTTAAGAGAAAAATAAATCTGATGCGTTGTAGAATGGTTACAAAAAATATATATCAACACCTGCTGCTTCAGTGTAGCACTGTGGATCTATGTAGGAAAAGAAGAATATTACTCGCAGATAAGAACCACTGCTAGTTCTGTGTATATTAGCCATAAAGACTCCTGTCATATCACATTATTTGCTAATCAATTTTGGGTTAGTCATGTAAGCCAGTTTGTATTTTGCATGGTGACCCATTATCCACACTGTTTCCAATAGTCACCATGGAACCAATCTCAAATTAGGGAGGATAGCCGTCTCTCTAGCTGACTAACATAGATAAAAGAACAACAAACTACAAAAGGTATCTATCAAAGAAAGATTAGACAAATTTTTCCAATTAAAATGATCTAGGTTATTAAACCTGAAGATAGATATTTCAAAAAATATTTTATGAGATATTAGATAGTTAAACTAATTAGTCCACTCTTGCTTAAAATATTTACTTTGCAACTGTTGTTGGGTGCTTATACCTCTCCAATACACAGTATGTATGCATTCTATATTCAAGCATACTATTTTGTACTATGCAGTCTGCATTAATGCAGTACAAAGCAGTTTTTAGCCCAACATTTACCCTGTGTCTGTTCTGCAACATAGCCTACCCTGCTGTTTGTAAGCATATGAAGTTCCAAGATAAAAGCAGCTGGAAACAACTTCTGTAAAAGGGACATTGAAAATTCCTCCTTGTGACAACCAAAATCTCTTTTCACTTTTTCAGTTGCAACGGGGGTGCTTTAGTGGGAGCCTACAAGTGTTATCCCAGGACGATGTCTTCAAAAGGACATTTTACCCTTTTGTTTCACAAAACTGTAAATGATGGGCACTCGCTGGCGAGACAGATGATGTGGGAATCAGTACATTCCCACTCACTACTCGACATGCCACTGTTCAAGTGAGCCTGATCTCCAGCATTCAGATAGGAAGAGGGGAAGGGGACGGATTTGTTTTAATAACGTGCATTCATAAAAGACTGTGTGTTCACACATTTTCTGCTTTCTTATTGGTGCCTCATAACCATCTAACGTTTGTGAAGTCATAATGTATGGTTGTTAAGTAACAGAACTTAAATAGCTGTTAAAATTACTGGTCTGGTGATTGTATCAGTAATTAAAAACAAAATTCCACACAGCCAGTTTTCTTAATATGTAAAAATTGGAACGAAAGACTCAGAGCTACCCGAGCAAAACAGACTTGTGATTCTAGTGGCCCTAAATCAGAAAAAAATACGTTGTATACGGTTCTACAAAAATCAAATCCAGATTTAAATTGCAAATCAATTGTCATCTACTCTTGTGCCGAATCTTTATACAGATTTCCATTGGCATTCTGTTCTTTTTAAGTGGGTGATTTTTTTNGTTACAAAGGGAGGAATATGTCACACTAGTTTGCACTCCATGTATCGTGTTAAAGTCCTCCCAAGTCAAATATCTCATGGGTCAGGTTCCAAGTAAAATTTCCTTCATCCTGCTCAAAAAATATGCCAAACACTATGCTTAGAACTACCACAGTTAGTTTAGAAGGACCATTTCTGACCCATCAGCCTGAGGTAGTTTGAAATATCTGAAAAAAAGGAGTGAGCTAACTCTACTTGTCAGTCAGTCCCCTCAATCAATCATTGAACTTGATGGATCTTGAGCCAAACTGAATCTCTGCCCTGAAATTCTCTTCAGCAGTAGTTTAATTCTAATAGCTATTCAAATCATCAAGAAATGTTCACAGTTAAGAGACAATGATGGGATGCACCAAATAACCCCAAAAAGTCTTAACGCAAAAATAGTGTGTACTTTTGCACTATATTACCTTTATTTAAAAAAGGAAGTAACTCTTTTAATTTCTTCCAATGTATCCAATTTGGAAAAAAGAAAAACTCATCAAGTAGATTTGGAAGACTGAAGTTGGCACAAAAATGTTATTGAAAAATAAAAGAATAAAACCTGCTTCAAATGCATGTAGTTTTGGGGGTCAGATCCACCCCCAAAGCATTTATTTTCTTTTAGGGTTTCTTGGGGCTCCTCCATTATCCTGGAGAGCAGGCCAGCTGGTTGCAAACCTCTGCCAATATTACTCTGAACATATCTGCGAGGAGGTCCTTAAGCTGGTTTTCTCACCAGTCCTTGTATTTCCTCTGTTGAAAAGCTCTTCTTGGGCTCTGGTGAACATCTCCCCAAACAAATTGATACTGTATTACATTGATAAGTACCTGCATGTACATAGCATTTGATATATTCAGGTACTAAATTGCTACCTTTATTACTCACTGCTACACACAATACCGTACATTGATTTAAAGCTTAAAAAATGAAATTTAAAAAAGTACCCCGCACAAAAATGTAGGTCAAGTACTTAGATGTCCAAGGCAGCATTTCAGACTAACCTTCTATTAATTTTCAAAAACTGTTGCAGCTTTACTTGGTTTATCATGTAATCAAAACAATTAGATGGAACTGCTGACTGGCAAATAATTCATGTGGCCAAAATTCTGTAATTTAAGTGGTCTTCTGAAAGATCTCGTGAAAATGTCTCACAGATCAATGCACAGGAACCAAATGTTAACATATAACTGAAATACTTTGTACACATGCTTGCTTAACACCCCACAAACATCTGATAATTGAACCTTATATTATTTAAAGCTTTGCCCTTGGGACACTTAAACCAGTACTAAACACGAAACAACTTCAGTGCTGTGCAAATAAAACCTAAATATTTGATGCTACTCAACTCTATCATAACAGTTGAAATTCCCAAAGCAACTGAAACCATGCTTAAGAGTATCCAAACCAAGCTGCGACTTCCATTCCATGCATTCCACCTACACACGGAAATCCCAGAGATAGATTGTTGGAATGGAATGCACAATGGAAGGACACATCCGACTGACCTAATCCTGGAAAGTATTGTGCACAGGTTGGTCAAGAGCCAGGGCATCCCAGAGTGTGCGTTGGGGTACTGCTGGAGTCTAACCAGCCAAAATTGCATAGCTTGCCATTGATGTTGCTCCTCAGCAAGCTTTCCCGGGACTTGTCCAGCTAGGACCACCCTACCTGTTAGGGCTTTAACTTGCAGGATTAACAGGAGCTGAGTGGGATGACTCCCTGCCCCCAGTAACTGGTCTGCCCATCATCTGCAGTGCCCTTGAATACTGCGGACCCGCCTGGTTCAGGAACTGGACTTTGAGACTGCCACAGAGGGTTAGCTCGATTACAACATTCCTTTGCCAGGCATATCACTTTGGAGCCAATTCAGCTCCAAGGAGACCTCCACACAGAGCCTAATAATAATCCCTCCAAAACCAAAAACAATAATAAATTGGTCATTTTCAATCCACGACTGTTTGTGGGACATTGCTGTGCGCAATTGGCTGCCGCGTTCGCCCACAAATATACAGTCAATTCACTTTACGGTGTGTTCTATGAAGCGCTTTGGGACGTCCTCCCGACGTGAAAAGCGCTATATCAAATGCAAGGATTATTATTATTATTAACCCCCCGCCCCCTCTCTCCCCAAGGAGGATAGTCAAATGGGATGTTGTAAACCTTTTACTCTTCCAGAGCAAGAACACAATTTCTGTAGTCTATACCGTTTGTTCTTTCAGAGAATTTAATACACAGATCCAGAATATAAACCCTAAATAAATTTGTAGGATGGAACATAGAAAATGCAGTATACATGGTTAACTTAATCAGCAACCTTTCTTCTTTATTATCTCCCTGTCACAAGAAATATTTTTTCTAAAATCAGATGCGTGATTAGGCACTTCTATAGTAGTGTATTGTAGCTCCATATAATTAACTGACACAATTCTAAGTAGAAGAGGCTTGCCCCATTGGGAAAGTTTTGGAAGAAGAACCTTGGAGTTGAACTGAAGAACCTGCTCAATAAAGAATTAAATCAGGATTCCATCAAGGCGTACATTAACTAAGGAAGACATGTGCAATATATAACTCACAGTATTCCAAGCCCAAAGCCCCAGGAAATTTTAAATGCCTCATTTAGCCCTAATACTGAGAAGATAAAGGTTAGTACTTTCCATTACTTCTTCCCAATAGAAGTGGAAGTGAATAATCTTTAGGAAGATGCTGGTGCCCTTCTCTCAAAACAGTACAAAAGCAAAAGATTCTATGTTCAGAAACAAAGCAATGTATCACTGAATGATGGAAGCAAACTGCTGATTAAGAGACTGCCTCTCACACATCAGCTGTTATCCAATTTTGTTGTCATAAAACAATTTTTACTACTTTCTTCAGATTTCACACTAGTTTTATTAAATGGATTTAAAAGCTCATGTTTAAAGCAGAAAAAAATACTATACAAGAACAAAATTGCAACATTCTCTTAAGACGGGTACCGCAAAAGGATTGAATAGTTTTCATTATTACCAGGTAACAAACACAATTCAGGTAACCATGTGCCTAATGAAATTACATACTCACACCAATTGGGAGAAAAAAAAGTAATCATCTGATCATAACAAGAATCTATGTGGATATCTATACTATTGAAAGGATAATATCTGTCTGTGCTTCAAGAAGGATTTCAATAACCGATTGACGTAGAGACATGATTTCTACCTCAGCGGAAAGGTCTTGCATCTGGGAGTGACTTGGGCATATCTGTTTTCAGGTATCTCCTATCGTTCATGAGTTAGGACCTAAAATTTATTTAAGTTTTGCTTTTTTCGCTGCAGTTACACCCGGTGGCCGCTGAGTCAAAGTGGCGCTGTGGCATCGTGCGTCACAGAACACCTACATATGTACGCACGCACTGCAGTTACACAACAAAATTACACTTAGAGCGCACCTTTCACGTCGGGAGGACGTCCCAAAGCACTGAACAGTTAGGTGTCTGTGCCTGAACATGGGGAGGGGTGGTGTAGGGATGAGGGAAGGCAGAGAGGTGGGAGGGAGACCACGGTCGAAGAGAAGGGTCTTGAGACCGGCCTTGAAGGAGGCGAGGGAGGAAGCGAGGCGTAGGGACCATGAGATGGAGTTCCAGAGTGTGGGGGCAGAGAGGCTGAAAGCCCGGCCACCAATGGTAGGACGGGTCAGGCGGGAGACATGGAGCAGGCCAGAGCCCGCTGAATGGAGAGAGCGGGCAGGTTGGTAGGGACCTGGTCACACAGCATGCACATATCCAAGCGGCGGCGAAAGAACACAGACAAACCTGAGACCATAGCAACAACAAAATTACATTTTTAAAGCGCCTTTCACATTGGGAGGACGTCCCAGTGATTGTAAATTATACATTTATATTCATCATTATAAAGATGCCTAAGCGAAAATCAAACCTTTCAAGGATAAGTGTGTCTATTGGTTGCAAGCGTACCTGGAACAGGTACAGCTAGTGTACAATATTACATATTATGTTATATATCTAAATAACCAGCTCCAAGGAAAGTTTTATGCAGGTTTTATTATTTTACCTTTGTCAGAATTAAGAATCAGAAAGGGCAGGAAGACCTTCTAGCACTCTCTCAGAAACAAAGGTTAATTTTGCAAGACACTTTTTTTCTAGTCTGTGATGGCACTGACATTTAGGACAATACACATTTTAGTATTCCAGAGAAAGCTTTTCAAGAAGCACCTTTAGCTACGTAAGCACAGCAGTAATTCTAGTCTACAGCAATAGCTCTTTTTATTTCTTATTCCCAAATAAGTAATTTTGATGTAGGCAAGACAAACCTTACATTAGTAATGTTCTAAATCTTGCAGTAGTATAATTAATCACATTAAGGTACCTTCCTTGCAATATAAATGTCAATCATCAACTGGTGAAGGAAACAGGCTGCAAGGACATTCAGAATTTCAAAAGGCTTCCACAAAGCAATAAGAATACTGTGCAACACTACCCAGAAGGGCACCTTAGATAATTATCTTTTTGCAACAGCAGGTGTCAGACAATTGGTTGACAAAAAAGAGTTACATATGTACAGACTGGTCAACCAGACCAGAAATGCAAGCCTATTCACAGCCCAACAGCTAGCTTGTAGCCAAAATTAGAATTTGTAAGTGGCCGATTCCTTATTATGATCTTTACTGAATAACGTCATAGTTTGGAAGGACACAATTAATGAGTGCATTTGCTTCAAAATCAATTGATTCTAAAGGCATTTAAAATTAATACTAATTCTTTTTGGCTGAGTGAGAAAACGTTATTCTCCCTACGTAATTCTGATTAAGAGGCTTCAACCATTCATCAAAGTATTGTATGTCTCACATAGCTTAAGACAGCCTGTCTATATGGTTAGGCTTTCTGAGGAAGAAATTAATTTACAAATTAGTTTAATTCTTCATAAGCTGAAGCAATTTGGAGACCAATAAGTTACTCCGCTGATATAAATCCAACAAGATTCAATCACGAAATGTATTCTCTATGGCCTTACTTTGCACACAGTCTGATTCCAAGTCGTGATGTACAGCAACCTTGTCTCCAAAATAGTCTCCATCTGAATATTCAGCGACATCCAAGGTATGATCAGATTTCTCTTTGCTCTTTCTTCGGTTTCTCTTTTTCTTATTGTTTTGCACCTTCACCTCAGTCTCTGGGATGATATTTTCAGTTTTCCCTATAAAAACATTTGGAAATGTGCTATAAAAAGATGATCTTGCCTTTACAGCACAAATAGCACAAGAAATAATAGCTGTTCAATTTATCTCGGACAGTTTCTATTATTACAAAACATGCCAATTCTCTATATTTGCCTGAAAATTATTTTGACTGGTCTGATTTACCCCAACTTGTTTTTCCGGATTCCACATACCTTCATTTCCGGATTCTGTATCTCCATCTTGGCCTGTGTTGGTATCTCTCCGTTTGGTTTGCTTTTTGGATGTTGACCCTGTTTTTTTCCTCCAAAAGTCAGTTATAGTTGTCTTGCCAGTGTCCCCAACATTTTCCAAAAGGGCGACAGACATACTTGAAAGTATCGCAGGATTTTCTACTTCTACTGAAGATGCAAGATGACTGCTCTTAGCATTTCCTTCTATTTTGTGTTGGTTACTAACATCCTTTATTTGTATCACTTCAGTTTCAAAAGAATTTAAATCAGTGCCAGGAATAATTCCAATGTCATCATTTTGACTCTTATATTTCACCTGCTGTGCAAAATAGTTCAAATATGCTCTAAATCTGCCACTACAGTGCTGGTTTACCAACCTGGAGTAAGCATTCTTTTCTGGATTGACAATCTTGCTGTGGCCATTTCTGGGATCATAAGGGGTAAATGTACCTCTTGTTTGTCTCAAGTGATCCATTTAGTGCTGTCAATTTGGTAATGAATCACCAGAATTGAAACTGTAAAGAAAATACACCTCATTATGAACAGTTCCCACCAGGAATTAAACTACGTAATCAGCATATATACGTGGAAATTTTGCAATATTTTCAAACAAGAATAATAATCTTTGCATTTGATATAGCGCCTTATCACACCTTTGAGACATCTCAAAGCGCTTCACAGAATATACTGTAAAGCGTAGTTATTGTGTGTTTTGTGGGCAAAATTGCACACAGCAGTCGTGGATTGAGTGACCAAATTTTTTTTTAAGAGAATATTACCTCTGGAAAAGCGATCCGCCAATCGACTAATCGAGTCCCTGGGCATGTGGAGTAAGGAAACGTGCCCAACATTTCTCCCTGCCCGGGAATTGAACCCAAGTCCTCTCGCTCGTGAGGCGAGCGCTCTAATCACTAAACTACAGGACTCCAGATGCAACTAAAGCTTTTTAAAACAAAATAAAACTATGTGTTTGTTTTTAAAGCTATGCATCTCCTTTCTTCGAGACTTTTCCATATATTTCCCACATGCTTTTGGTTCAATAGCAGCATACATAGAATCCTAGAAACCATCAAACTCTCTCTCTTACAGAATGGTCCATTGTGTGGAGTAAGAAAAATATTTGCAATTTATCTTGGGATGATAGAAATCTTTTTCTCAAATATATTATTTGAAATCTTCAAAATTTCAACTCACAATCCCATACAGAATGGCACACTGCATTAGATTCATACAGTTTAGTATTCCAACAAATGTTCCTGGGGTTTTCAATTGCTTCCACTCTGTTGAACAAATCTGAGGTGTAATTAATCTCTGCACCCACACCAATTGTGACCCACAAGTGGCTTGGCAGCACTGATATAGTGTTAACATTGCACCAATAATGTTCAATAACATCCTAATGGCATTTGGTAAAATTTGCATAGCACTTTATTTTTAGTGAGTGAAAGGGTTAAAATTGAGTCACTAAGTGGGGCATTAAGTACCTTAGTTGTCCAGTGGTGAAGATAAGTGCTCATCAGTACAAATTAATCCATATAAATGGTATAAACAGCCATTTTAAAATATTGTGATACAATAATGCAATTTTCTCCCTCTTCAGAAAAGTTTACTTATATCATGTCCTGCCAATGAAACATCCTGAACACATTTTTGACTATGTCTTTGCCTCTAACTATGCTGGGCAAGGACCAAATCATTTAGACAATCCCTCAGAATCAATCTCACGTCTGCTCCCAATGCATAGCATATTCACAGCAGTACAACTAGAAACAAGTGATGGATACAGTGCCATACATTGGCTGTGCCCAGAATTAGCAAAATTAGCAGAGATTTTGGGTTCCTCTTCTGAGGCACCCCATACACAGTCACCTCTCAAATCTGCACATGCCTACAACCAAATGGAGTACAGGATCAACTGATATTTAAAAAGTACTTTAAAATACACTCACCAATTACAATTTCTATATAATCTGTATTGTATCATATAATCTGCAATGTTACATGTCCTGAAAATGAGGTCAATCATGTACAGCTCAATAAACGATTTTAACACTTCCAATTATCCCTCTAAAAAGTACATTGAATGAATATCAAGTTCAACTGCTTGAGTTACCATGATCAAACAGCCTGCCAAGACTCAACCTAGGTTGTCCGAAACATTGATTGTCCAGCACCTTGGCACATCCTCCTGGTGTGAAAGGTGTTATACAACTGTAATTTTGTTGCGGTTCTCAGATAAACAATAACTAAAAAAAGCAGTTCCATAACTAAAACCACCACCCCCATTGAATGAAGGGTTTATTTATAAACAAAATCTATATTTATACACAACAATGGTTATTTCCAGGTAAAAGGTATACATTGCATCAACTTAGCAAGTGGTAGCAATCTCGTTTCTGAGTCAGACGGTTGCAGGTTCAAACCCACATCGGGACATGGAATCACATTGACCAAGATGACCTTCCAATGCAGTGCTGTGGTTGTGCTGCATTGAGGGAGGTGCGGGCTTCGGATGAGACATTAAACCAAGATCCCATGTCCTGCCCAATAAATCCCCAAAGTAAAATTGGTCACTCATTCCATGGCTGTTTGTGGGACACTACTGTGTGCAGCGTTTCACCCACAAAAATACAGTCAAACCACTTTTTTTAATATAATAATAATCCTTGCATTTGATTATAGTGCCTTATCACATCCTTTGAGATGTCTCAAAGCCCTTTCTTCACAGAAAATGGACAGACAGTGCGATTTTTTCGGGCGAACGGTATATCGGGTGAAGCTCTTTGAGACGTCTCAATGATGTGACAAGGCTCCACATCAAATGCCAGTATTATTATGACTATTATTATAAAAAGGTCCAACTGATAGTAAGACGACGAACAGACCAGGAGCGCAATGTTGTCACGTTTGCTCCCGTCTCCCCCCGCAGCCTCCTCTGCGGGGAGGTATCTGGGTTGAAAACATGTGAAGACCAGAAAGACTTATAATAGTGGCTAATCATAAAGAAAAGGTGCGGTGGCCCCGAGAAGAAGGCCCGAGACCCCCCACGGGGCGGCCCTGTTACAGTTACACGCTTCGTGTCGTTTTCCCTCGCGTCCATCTCTTCAACCAACACTCCCCACCCGCCCCTCCCGAACCAACGGGCCGCGCTCGGCTCGGCTCTGACACTTACACGGAGCGGGGTCGCGGGAGGAGGAAGGGGGCGAGGAGGCAGTGGGGTGGGGGGAGGAAGCAAAGAGACCAGGCGCCGCCGCTGCCGCCGATGGAAGCTTCTGGCGCACTTCTGGCCGGTTTCCAAGACAACCACATCCGGGTCACCGCGGCATCCCCACGTGATAAGAAGTGACAGGCGGGGGTGGCGGGTGCGCGCGGAGCGTTCTGGGACTTGTAGTTCCTCTTCCACTGTGTGTGTGTGTGTGTGTAGTTTCCCCTCTCTCCCTGTGTGTGTGTGTGTGTGTGTGTGTGTGTAGTTTTCCCTCTGTCCCTGTGTGTGTGTGTGTATGTGTGTAGTTTCCCCTCTGTCCCTGTGTGTGTGTGTGTATGTGTGTAGTTTCCCCTCTGTCCCTGTGTGTGTGTGTGTGTGTTTGTGTGTAGTTTCCCCCCTCTCCCTGTGTGTGTGTGTGTATGTGTATGGGTATGTGTGTAGTTTCCCCTCTGTCCCTGTGTGTGTGTGTATGTGTGTAGTTTCCCCTCTGTCCCTGTGTGTGTGTGTGTGTGTGTGTGTGTAGTTTCCCCCCTCTCCCTGTGTGTGTGTGTGTGTGTGTGTATGTGTGTAATTTCCCCTCTGTCCCTGTGTGTGTGTGTGTATGTGTGTAGTTTCCCCCCTCTCCCTGTGTGTGTGTGTGTGTGTGTGTGTAGTTTCCCCCCTCTCCCTGTGTGTGTGTGTGTGTGTGTGTGTGTAGTTTCCCCCCTCTCCCTGTGTGTGTGTGTGTGTGTGTTTGTGTGTAGTTTCCCCCCTCTCCCTGTGTGTGTGTGTGTGTGTTTTGGACCATACATGACAATAGAGTGGTCCTGGTTTTCTTACACGACCAGGAGGGCATCCACGTTTCTACCCCACAATCACACATACACGTACAGAAAAGAATAAGGTGCATTGATATATTTGATGGTTTTGATTTTATCTGTGTGTGTGTGTGTGTGTGTGTATATATATATATATATGAAGAAAACCCAATCCCCTTGCAAAGCTTTTTTTTAATAGCGTTGTTTGCTTATCGGAAGTAATGGGTTTTTTTGGGGATAAGAACATCTCTTAAAACATCTCCTTCTCTCCCCATGTCGCCACCATGGATAGCAACTGCTCTGTGAGCTTGAGATGCGAGGAAAGCAGCCTCGTGGGAAATGCGTGTGTGTGCGTGTGTGTGTGTGTGTGTGTTTTGCAGACAAATAAATGGTATAAATAAATGATGAATGTCACGCCGCGATACCGGAAAGTACCGGAAAATAAAGGGGGAAGACGGTGACACTAATGCGCCTTTCCTTTACGCAAATTGCAATGATTTCCTTCTTTTTCCTTCTTCTATTTTTAGCGGCAGATAAAACATTACTCACTGAGCAATAGTGTGCAATCGTCGCCACCGCCCGAATGACTGAATTTGACTGTAAAACTTCAAAATATCTTTTCGTAACCTCAGGACAGTGGTGTCAATTGTGGCCATCGAAATCGACAGAATTAAATGGCAATCCGTTTTTTTCTCTTCAAATAAAACAAAATCTCTTATTCGATGCGCATTCGAACCCTGTATTTTTTTTTCCCGAATCACCTTTTCTTTTTTATCGAATGGGACACCGATCAAAGAGAGATCCTTTCGGGGGCGGTTTACTAACAAATGCCAATGTTTGATAAGCCAATAATCATCCCAATCGATTGATGGGTGGACTGGATGGGTGATGTACATGTGCATTGGAAATCAGTAGCGAGTGGTTCCTTTGCTGTTCGCGTTCGGGCTATTTATTTTCTCACCGTTGTATTTAAATCCATTGCACTCACACACACACACACACATACACACACACACACTCGATAATTCATATATTCCCAGGAGTGGAGTGGAGGGCAACGTGACATCGTCTCAAGGCGCTCTGGGGCTGCGTTTGTAGCGTTGGATCGAAGAACAGAACTGGACACATGTCGGATAATGTCCCAAATAATGTGTGGACTGCACAGGGACAGCTCCTGTGCTTAACTTAACCACATGCAATGGCTATGTCGCATTGCTCCCATTACCCACAGCCGAACATGAAATGGGACTTGTTCATTTCACGTTAAACTATAGATTAACGTTAAGTCCATTTCCCGTTAAGCTTTTTACATTAAGCTATAGGTTCTACTAATCCACTAATTTATGACCCCCCCACACACACACACACACACTTACACACACACACGCGCTCTACTAATGGTTTCCAATTGCAGTTATTATCCTGCAAAACAGCACCAGCGAATCTCAAGTTTTGCGACTTTTTTGTTACCATTAAAAATAAATAAGCGAACGCTTGTGTTCCTTTGGTGACAAATACAATGTCGTGATATCTATCCCACGTTTGCGACCATTAATAATCCAAATGATAGACTGGGAACGGGAAGCATTTTGTAAACCCTGCGAGCAGGAATAATAATAATAATAATAATACAAAATAAGCATTGCATTTCATATAGCGCCTTATCACGTCTTCGAGACGTTTCAAAGGGCTTCACAGAATAAACTGTAACGTGAATTGACTGTAAATTTTGTGGGCGAAACACAGCAGCCAATTGTGCACAGCCAGTGTCCCACAACCAGTCGTGAATTGAGTGACCAAATTATTATTATTATTATTATTATTATTTAGTAAGCAAAGTAAATGCATGCGTTATCCTGCACCCCTCGAAGACACCAAGTCTTTGAGTTACGTTTGTCCCCACTGAGGGGAGGGGAGATCCACTTTATTTGTATTCGATTTCAATTCAGTAAAATCAGTCAAAGAAAATATCCTTGACAGCAGCAATGACGATTCGGACATCTCAACAGTCAGACAGTCATCCAGTATACAACTTCACTTCACAATATATTGTGTGAAGCGCTTTGAGACGTCTCATCAACGTGATAAGGTGCTATATCAAATGCAAAATTATTATTATCATTATTATTATTATTATTATAGGGCAATCAGTCCAACTAATACTAAGGCACTGAATAGAGCAGAGCACCACATTGTCACGTTTCCCCATTATCTCTCCCCCAACCTCCTTTACCGAAAAGTATCTAAGATTAAAAACATGTGAAGAAAGACCAGAAACATATTTCGATTTATTGTTGCTAACAAAAGTGTTCTTGGGCAAGATTGAAGGTTTCTGGGGACATTATGTTCGGGGTAGAGATCGTCAAACATGTATCAATCACACACACAAAAGGAATGAGATCGGCGATGTTGTGAAAGCTGCTCTGTAAGTGTAAATAATAATAATAATATAATACTTGCATTTGACACAGCGCCGTATCACGTCGTTGAGACGTCTCAAAGGCGTTTCGCAGATTATGCTGTAAAGTCAATTGACTGCACACTTTATTTTGTGGGCGAAAATAGAGTTGTACAATTTTGCACCATTTTGCGCACACAATGAACTTTTTTGAACTTTGAAACACGTAATGCAATGTTTGAATTCGGGGTGATTGCATTTTGCATTCATGGGGGTTCGCTCTCACCGAGGGTTCAATTCAATCCATCATTCTCCATACAATACTCCCCAGAAAGCAGAGAACCCGACTCAAAGGAGATAGGTCGACACTACCTCTAAACACGTTGAAAAGCCGAATTGTTTTCTCTGTGTTGTTTTTTTTTTGGGGGGGTGGGGTGGGGTGGGGGGGGGAGTTGTTGGGAGGGGAGAAATGACATCAAGAAAATTTAAAATGAAAAAAAAATCCCAGACAGACAGACAGACAGACAGACGATGGCTAAATAATAAGTGCCATCCTTGCATTTTGATACAGCGCCTCACCCCGTTTTCGAGGCGGCTCAAAGCGCTTCCCAGAATATCCCGCAAAGTGAATATTTTGTGGGCGACGAGTCGTGCAGACTCAACCTTGCGTCAAATGTAGACTCAAAATAAATAGTATTTTTTTTTGTTACTGTTGCTGTGGTGTGTGTGTGTCGCTGTATTTTCTTTGCAGCGCTAATTGTGCGTGTAAGGACATAACTGCTTGAATCCATGTCAGAGGAGGGTTGGGTTTGTTTCTGCCCGACTATCCCGGTGGGAACCTGTTAGATAGGATTGCACAGACTATACTGCAACCACACTTTGAGTCACTTGGTTCAATTATTCCATTTGTACCGCACAAGAGCCTCCCTCGACCCTTTTTTTGACCATGTACTCCCCACACCCCACATCCCCCTCTGTTGTCTTGTTTCCCCCTCTCCTATCTGTTGACCTGATATCCCGTCCTCGGTACATGAAACACTTCTTAAGCAACTGCCTTGTGAACGTGCTCTGTCCATCCTCGCTGATGGGCTCAGAGAGAGATAGCTGCCAAGTCACCAAATCTTTTTTTTTAAAAAAAGAAAAAGCGTTCAACCACCGTATCAGAGATAGGCCTCTCGTGTTTTTTTACAACTGTGTTTTATTACACAACCTGAAGGAGCAAATCAAGATTGGAAAATTGAAAAAGGTCGTACGATACAGTTGTCAAAGGGGACCAGATTTCAACCATCACTGTGTCCTGAGAGTATTTTTTGTGAACAGGGGAATGGAAATAGTCAAAGGCTAATGCTACAAAGAGCATGTTGCTGGGGCGAAATCGCTGCTCCTTTGATGGACAACCTTATCCCCAGGGGTTCGATAACGAGCAGAAAGATCTCACAAAAAGCCATCAGGAAAAGTTGCGGCGCCCTAACTCTCTCCATCTCTCTGTTTCTACAATTTAGTGGCAGCGCCGCTCTGCTTCATGTGATGAGATTTGTTAATGGGCTTTAACATGGATTTGTTAACCTGTGAATCATAACCACTTTAAATTAAACAGCTCCTGCACGTTTTCCCGTATACTGCATTTTCCTGATGCCTTAAACATTTGTAGAGAAATATACACCGTTATTTCAATTTGCTAATGTCTCAGTGTTGCAGATTTGTTTTTCAGTTGCTGGGTTTTACGCGAAGAGAAAGCACAAGATATAGTAAGTACACTGATCAGATGAAAAACAGATTTATCTTCCAGATATTAAGGCTTTTATTTGAATGTATGCATGTTTTATCATTATTATTATTACTATTGTTTTATTTTGATTAATTTCTCCGCAAAACCCCCCCCCCAGTATATTCTGTGAAGCGCTTTGAGACGTCTCAAAGATGACAAATGCAAGGATTATTATTATTAATAACAATAATCCTTGCACTTGCCGCCTTCGAGACTTCTCAAAGCTCCCAGGCATCAGAAGGTTTAGGCATCAGATTATCATTATTAATAATATTATTATTATGTTTAATGCAGTAATATGAAGGTTCATTTAAGCACAAATGGGTGTGTTTAAGCAAGGACACCCCTCCCCCACCCCACTCATCAATTTCTCAGGTACATTGCTTTTATAGTAAAAAAACATTAAAATAATCTCTTTGTGGCGATTGGATCCCAGAATTGACAAATAATCACGTTTCTTTACGTTAGTAATCAATTTCTTTATGGATTATTGCTCTTCCGACATCCGTCATGTAGACATCAGGCTCCTGCACCTCAGGTTGCAGTGTACATTTAAGACATAAACTGTATCTAACATCTAACACAACTGGATTGAAATCTTGAACCATGAGTGTTTTTAAGGATAACATAACGACGTTATTTTTTGAACTTAATTTTTAACATAACTGAGTTATTCTAAAGGCACAGAAACACGTTGATCATTGTTAATTTACAGCCAGAGAACTGACTTGTCCCCGTTTGCTCAGCACCATAATCCTGTCTGATTTACTGTTGTCATGGCATAGATGTCACATTCACTGTGAACCATTAGTTAATTTATCATTCAGAAAGAAAGTGGAAATACAATTGAAATATATCTTTTTTAATAATAATAACAATTCAGCTATCAACTCTGTGGTTTAAGTGCCTGCTTCATTTGGAGGTGATTTTTTTGTGTGTGTGGGGGCGGAGAGATCAGGTGAGAGGGTGTGTGGGGGAGAAAAATATCTTTAAGTTAAAAAAAATCTATAGTTGCATTCTAACTACACGGCTCTCAACACAGTCCAGACATCCATCTGAGTGATGCAAGTCCCTGCTTAAGAACTCTGGGTTCGGGACAAAAAAAGTTTCCATTCAGATGGGCATTTTGTTGTGTTCAATTGGTTCAGTTGGAACCCTGTTGGAGAAATGTCACATCTCAGAACAATTTTACAGCCAATTGTCGGGGCACTAGGGAGAGGAGGAGAGGGGGGAGGAGGGAGGAAGGGGGGTGGGGGGGTCACAAAAATAGATGATGTAAATAAAAGGCGTGTTTCCTTCTCTCTTTCCTGATTGTTCCCAGCAACTTCCAATCTACTGACGTCATTTGATCTTATAAAAAGCTTTGAAAGGGAGTTGGGAAAGGAAAGAGCAGAGGAGACTTGATCCACAGGCAGAGAGATCGGCAAAAGCACCACAACCAAGTCTGACTGTGCTGTCTCCAGGTGCAGCCAGAACTCGCACACTTTCGGTCCAAAGTAGAGGAGAACATGAAGATCTTCTGGCTTGTGCTCTGTGGACTATCCGTGGCTCTCCTGTCTGTGAGGATGGAAGCTAAACCCTTGTTTGACATACAAGTAAGCTGGTGATATGTTATAACTGTTAGAACTAGAGAAATGTTGTAATCTGCCTCCAAGTGCTGACAAGTAGACACAGTGTGCTCGTATAAAGACTTTTTATTCCAATGTTGGCAACTCAATGGGTTAGAACCCACAATGGGACAACCCTTGGGCATTTAGTAATAATCTTTCGCTGCGTTTTCACGTTTGATTGAGGGTGGGGGGGTAAGTAAGGATTTTTTTTGTGTTAACATGTTCTCTTCTGCATGGTCAAACTGCTTCTGTCAAATTTCATTTTACCCTATTTCAATTTTGCTTAAAACAGGTGGATTTTACTTGGTATGTATTCGCTAAAATAAATCTCTTATTTTTCATAAAATGTCAATAAAAAAAAAATCTCGCTATCTTTCCTCTCCTCTCAAATGAAGATCCAGTGTTATGTAGGTAGCAGGCGATAACAAAGTTTTGATGGATAAGTGGAAACGATCCACTGTCCAATACTGAGATGGATTTTTGGTAACATTCAGGTATAACGTCTCGCTTATTGTACCTGTTGTCAGGTACAATGTCAACAACAACTTGCATTTATACAGCGCCCTTCACGCCAGACGGCATCTCGGAACGCTTAATGTCTCGTGTTTCGCCCTCAAATATACAGTCAATCTTCTTTAAAGAATATCCTGTGAAGTGCTTTGAGACGTCTGGAAGGCGTGACCAGGCTGTATATCAAATGCAAGGCTTATTTTTATTAATATTGTAATAAATACACTGGCATTTGTGGCTTTAATACAATAACCACTGTCTAATATAATATAATATAATATAATATAATATAATATAATATGCAATAACATAAAAAGAAATGAAATGCAACAGGACATCACAATGCTGTAATAGAAGATTTCCCACTTCCCGTGTCTTTTGCTCCAGGATCTCACACAGCTACTGGATGAGCAAATAGCCCATAGCCTTTCCTCGCATGAAAGAGAAGCCATTGCAGAGCTGAAAGGTGAGGTTCAAGTCCGACCTCTGCGGGATCTCAGATACGACACCAAATCCAGGAGGGCCTGGGCACGGCTGGTCGGGGATAAACCCAGGACGATGAAGAAGCCCAGCACCCACAGCTGCTACCGCCGTAAACTGGACAGAATTGGAACCATTTCCACACTGGGCTGTTAATCGGGCGCCACTTCGCGTCCGCAAGTGAGTGTTGCAACCGTTTCATTTACATTGTACAATCATCTCATTTTCACACCCTCCTCCTCCCACCACCAACATAAGGGGGAGGGGGGGGGGATACACTTTTTTTTTATTTTGCCACAAGCCGACCGCAGTGTTTGCTTCTCCACTGGGACGACGAGTTCATTCCTAAAGAGGCTGTGGGGGCGATCAGAAGAAATCACAGCATTTTTTTTTCCAGACAGAGACACAGACAGGGACTGGAAGCGACTCATTCTGAAAAATAATGCTGTGACAGTTTCCCAACATTTAATAGGATGTTATATATATATATTACACACACACACACACACACCTGCACAGGCTTCTTATGCACCTTTGTAATATACACTCCAAAGTGTAAATATAAATGGAGCAAATATTGCAAAGCCACACATCCTCGAACTGGGAGGAGGTGAAAGGGTCACAGAGTAGAGATTCAAGCGAGAGAGGTGATGAGAGAGAGAGAGAGAGAGGAGGAAAATAGTTTAGATTCAGTAAAGCCAGGGGAAAAGAGCCACTGGAACTAAACGTTGGGGTTCAAAGGGAAGTTTGATGTGCAATCTGAGAGTGATCCGGGATTCCCAGATGACTTCGCGTTAAAAATGTAACTTTAAAATTTAAATGGAATTAAAGTGATGAGAAGAAGCACGTCTTCTTAGAAAAGAACGTAGGAACTTGATCGCATGCTATTTCTTTCCCATTTCAAGCTTTCAGATAAATTGAATTTTTGATAGTCTTTTGTTTCAAAGTCAGTTTCCTCTGATTTTGTGTGTGTGTGTGTGTGTGTGTGTGTGTGCTGCCCAGGAGTGAGTGAGCGGAATAGTGAGTGAGATAGATATGTTATAGACCAAGAGACAGGCAGGTGGATGGACAAACCTGGGGTTGCATAAATAGTTAGAAACATAGATATTTTCAATAACAATAATAATCCTTACACTTGGTATGGGAGAGCACAGAGCAGAGGAGCGACTCTAGAGAGGTAGGGATGCCAGAGAGAGAAACAGGGAAGAAAAGAGTCTACATTCAGTAAAGGGGGAAAAAAGAAATAGAGTTTCCAAAGTTTTCTTTTATACAGCCCAGCAGACATCATTAATAACAATCCTTGCATTTGATATAGCGCTTTATCATGTCTTCGAGATGTCTCAAAGTGTTTCAGAGAATATACTGTAAAGTGTATTGACTGTATATTTGGTTATCTACCTGTGCCTTTTTGCCCAATGTGTGGAGACCCTGATTGAAGTATCCAGGCATTTATTGCTGACTGGGAAGTGAATTTGCCCAGTTAATAGCTGTCTGTAAATAACTGATCATTGCTTTTTAATAAGGGTTTTCCAGCCTCTCGTTTTAAACCCCCTTAAAGTTGGGTGTTTGCTCTAACTCGGACTCAGACACAGCAGCCAGGTTAGATAAAGGAGGGTCACATCACACACTAGTCACAGCAAGCAGCATCCATGTGGGGTGCGAGTCATCGTCAATGCAACCGACCTGCAAATTGTAGATAAGAAGTTTTGCAATATGTTATGCACATTTTACAGCTTTCTTGTGTGCACCTATATCGCGTTTGATTCTCTATCCGCCCTTCCATGAGACGTTAAACCGAGGCCTCGTCTGTCTGGTCAGGTGGACACTAAAGATCCCATGACACTATTCGAAAAGACAAGGGAATTTCTCTCTCTCTCGCTTTGTCCAGCTTGACAAACCTCCCCTATACCCCAAATAAAATTGATCACTATCTTGATGGTTATTAGTGAGGCATTGCTGTGCACAAATTGGCTGCCACATTCAGCTACGCAGTCACTTTGTTTCAGTAAAATCCAGTGAAGCGCTTTGAAACGACTCAATGAAGTGATGAGGCGCAATATAAAAGGCAATAGTTGTTAATATAAGCGACAAGCTGATTAATAATAATAATCCTTACATTTGATATAGAGCCTTATCACATCTTCGAGACATCTCAAAGTACTTGACAGGATATACTGTCAAATGAATTGACTGCATATTTTTTGGGTGAAACATGGCAGCCAATTGCGCACAGCAGTGTCCCACAAACAGTCATGGATTTGAAGGGATTATCAAAAAAGCGATGAACCAATCGACTAAAATGTCCCCATTAGATAAACAGAGGTGTGTGGAGTAAGGAAACTTGCCTAAGGTTTCGCCCCACCTGAGAATCAAACCCGAGTCCTCTCGCTTAACATGTTGTGTGTTCCGATTTGCAGGACACAGGGCTGCTGATGAACTCTGAACAGTAGACACGTGCTTCACATCATCGCCTACGATAGTACAGTTATCTGTTTAACAAGAAAGGAAACGGGATTCCTTCCGGTACGACAAACCACATCACCAGCATCTTTATCATCAAGGAGCGTGAAGGAAAGTGTTGTAGGAACTAATGCAGATATAAACCTGTCCTCCTGTAAATTGTTTTTATTTCATTTCTGCCTAAATGTATTTATGTTTCAGCTATTTATATGTTTATAAAAAACATATTTATAAATCTATAAATTTATAAAAACATAAATTATATATTTATTTATGCAACAAAACTGAATAGATGGTGAACTACAGGTCAAACAAATAGAGTTTCTAACATTTGTCCTAATGGGTGTTAAATTCCATTTCACATAAAATGTCTGAAAAAAACTCTTTATTTATTACTATCAGAACAACACTTAAAAAAAGCTTTTTGGTGGCGGTTTCTTTTTTCTTTCCAAGTGCTTGGTTTAAACTTAGTACAATCTTCTAACTAACTGGTTTGTTTTCCAATTTGGGCAAAAGTCTTTTTATTTTTAACCACAAAATAGTTTTACATTCAGAATTTTTTTATTCAATTGTAAAGTTTATTCCTTTAAAATAATAAGCGTCGTTTTGTAGCCCACACAACAAAGGGCATCTGTTTATTTTTTTCTGGGATAATAATCACTTATTCCCCCCAAGTTAATAAAAAATTAAAAAATAAAAAATAATTTAAATTTTACTTAATCCATGACGGTTTGTGGGACACTGCTGTGCACAATTGGCTGCCGCTCTTTGCCCACAAAATACACAGTCGGTCAACTTTAGAATATAATCTGTGAAGTGCTTTGAGGAGTCTCAACGATGCGTTAAAGCACTCTATCAAGTGTAAGAGTATTATTATTAATTTTCGTATCTTGTCACTCATTTCTTTTGAGGTTACGTAGCTTTGATTTGCGGTTACACCTCACTCTCTCCTCGGTACTTGTTTTCTACAATATAAAAATTGTTGTAAATATTCAATATGAAACCCAGTTAATATGTGTATTTTCTAATGGCATCAGCTTTGCTTAGTAACGCACTGTGTCAGTAAGTTGTAGGTTCAGGCACCGCGCCCTCTCCCCCATCACATGTGGACTCTGATCTTGCAGTCTAACCTGACACTCCAGTGTCATACTGAGAGAGTGTTGCTTTGTCGGAGGTGCTGTCCTTTGGATGAGCCTGTGATGGCTGACACATTCACACCTGTAAGCAATAGCCGACAACCATAGGCGCTTTAACACTTTTACGTAATATACCTTCCGGGTGACACCAAGGTGTGTGTGTGTTTTTTTATTCTTACTCTTATTCTTTTCTTTCTTTCTTTCTTTGGTTCTTGTTTCGGGTCCTCTCTGGGGTGCCAAAATGTTGGGTTTGAAGGTACAGTCGGTAGTAAAGTTAACCACTCTGATGAAACCAGCTTGTTCTGTTTACCGGAATTTGTATATAAGGACCCGCGAACCGAGGAACCAAAGTCAGCTGTATTTTATATTCAAAGCTTGTTTGCTTAATAAGGCAGAAAGGTTGCATTAGTTCAATCAACATAATAAGCAAGTTACTTGGCTGTATTGGCCAATATTGGCTGTTATGCTCACCTATATAGCAATTCTACTGTAATGACAATATCAAAGTTCATAAACTAATAAGCAGTCTCAAATCTCAAGATCTCTTGCTTCTTGTTTCTTGTGGGCTCGAACAAGCGAGCGTTGTCTCTGGCACTGTTACATTGATGACAGCAGCCATCAAATTAAGGAATCAAAAGTCCTTGTCTCTAGCACTTGTGTTTCAGCTGCATCTCGGTATCATCGTTTTTCTTCTCTTCTTCTGATATTACTCGAGTCAATGGAACAATCACAGTCAGATGGCTTGAGTCGCAAAGCAAGAGAAGCGAAAGACGCATTAGATGCACTTGCAGTCATCACCTTAGTCCAAACACCATGATGATGACCACAACAACTTGCATGTTAATAGCACCCTTCACACAGGGTAGCATCCCAGGACGCTTAACTGTTGGCCCCTGACCAACTCTGACTGAACAAAGTATAGCTTAGCAAAGTATATCGCTTTTATCATTGTCCTTTTCTGACACTAAGAAGGATGGTCTGTGCAAATCTGCACGTTCTCACAAGTCTTCACTCACCTGACAGTTGGTTACAGGCTGACTTGAATGTATTGAGATCATCCTTGGATAACAACAATTTGCATTTCTATATCGCATCTCACACTGGGTCATGTGTCAGACAGTACAGTACCCATGAGGTTAGCTGACAACTTAAGCATTTCCAAACTGAACCAAAACAATAACTGAAGCAAAATAATATTTCTGATTCCAACACATCACACCAGCAGGACTTTTTTATATATAAATAAATAAACGATTGGTTTAAGATCATTAGAAACAGCTTCGCTAACTGTCAAAGTTTAAGTCTTTCCACTATACGATGGCTAATGTCACTTGAGATATTTTTATATTGGTGAGATAGGTTAGCCCTCACTAACCAAATTAGACCGAAACAAGGGTTGAGCCCCTTGTTGCCCCGAAACTCTTCTAGGCCTCAAAGGACAATGTGACCCTGATACCTGTCTTCACGACCACCCGAGCAAGTCAGGTGACCAATCTAATTCCTGAGTATTGTGCACAGGCTGACAAGAGCCGAGATTTAGGGACCCTAGAGTTTGCATTAAGATAACTGCTGGAGTTCAAGCTGCTAAAGAGATGCAACCCACTAAATATACAGTCAATTCACATTACAGTATATACTGTGAAACACTTTGAGACGTCTCAAAAACGTGATAAGGCACTATATCAAATGCAAAGGTTATTATTATTATAGCTTGCCAATGAAAGCACTGTCTGGCAAGCATCCCACTGCTGATCCAGCGAGGAACAACTTACCCATTTGTGAATTGGCTTGCAGGGTTAACAGAGCCGAGTGGGAATTGAATTTATTGTAGAATGTTACATGGGAGAACCCAGGACCGAAGAGATGGAGCCCACAGAGATAAGCATATGGCTCTGGTTCTGGGTTTGTGTCCTGGAAGTAGAGGAGCAATTTATATCATCTCTAAAAATTGGTTTGCGTTAACTTTGTACTGGTGGATTTTCTAAAACCCTTTCAATAGGACACAACTGAACCCTGTTGAACAAAGGTGTACTCACTTGAATGCTGACCACAAGAGACATTGGACATTCACAGAACACCCCCAACAGGAAAGTAACTAGGTTTAATTCTGGAATAACTTATGACACAATAAATCTGGCAATTCTGGATTGCAGACGTGTCATTCTGAGTGTTTCCAGTTTCACTGCCAAAATCTTGGGAGAGACAATAGGCTCGATTGCTTAACCAAAAGTTCCGTTCTCCCGACCACAATTGATGCAATGTGTCTCACTTTCAGAACGGTTCCCCTGGTGATAATAAGGTGATAACATTTCATCAACAATACTGTCAACAACAACAAAAACTTGCATTTATATTGCGCCCTTCACATGTGGTAGCACTTAACAACGGTGGATCCGGATGCCGGACCAGGAGGAGGTGACTGTAAGCAAGATCAAGAGGAAGGTCTTCAGGCATGATATGAGAAAGGGGAAGGAGGGGCAAGGGGGAGGGATTAAGGGACGGAGTTCAAAGGTTTCGGGTGAAGTGGCTGAAAGCACGGCCGCTGATGGTAGAGCGGAGAGAATGAGGGAGAAGCAAGAGACTGGGGGTGGTGGAGTGGGGCGTAAGCAAGCCAGAGAGCTCGGCAAGTGGCAGGGCGTGAGGGATTTTTAGACAAGTGTGATAAGGAGCCAGTGGAGCCAGGCAAGGGCTGGTGTGATAAGGGTATGGAGTTTAGAGCGGGTAGTATACGGGTGGTGCTACAATTCACAATACACTGTGAAAAACAACTACAAATTGTATTTTTACAGCGCTTTTCACATCAGGAAGACATCCCAAGGGTAAGGACAATCAAGGGCTTGAACCCGAGTTGGAGTTTCGAATCAAATGGGGTGGAAGCCAAGGGGGTGGGGGTAAGAGGCTGACCAAAGGCATGATCAAAGAGGAAGGTTTTGAGACTCTGGAATTCTGGGATTCAGTTCCAGAGGGTGGGGGTACCTGATTTGTTCATGGAAACAGGTAGTTGTGAGTTAATCGAGGAAGGAAGTGAGTGTGTGCATATTCCTACATGACTGATAGCAGGTGTGTACAGTATGACAAGAGTACATGATAATGAGTTGTACGCATCAAGAAGGGAGTGTTCCTTTTGTGAAGAAATGATTAATGTGTGTGGGTGAGTGACGTTTGGCTGAGATATACTGGATAGAAATCCCTCCTTTCCTATAGAGTTGAAACTATAGAGTTGAAACTTCTCAAACTTCTCAAACAATTGTAGTAACTGTATACATAATAATAATAATAATTCTTACATTTGATATCGTGCCTTAACACGTCTTCAGGCTGTCTTAAAGCGCTTCACAGAATATACTGTAAAGTGAATTGACTGTATATTTTGTGTGAGAAACACGGTAGCTAATTGCACACAGCAGTGCCCTACAAACAGTTATTGATCATAGAATCATAGAATTGTACAGCACAAAAAGAGGCCATTTGGCCCATTGAGTTTGTGCCGGCTCTTTGAATACAGCAATTAATGTCAATCCCACTCCCCAGCCCTTTCCCCATAACCCTGCAAACCCGTCCTCCTCAAATACCTGTCCACCACGTTTTTAAAAGCAGTTATGGAATTGGTCTCGACCACCCTTTCAGGCAATGCGTTCCTGATTCGAACTCACTGCGTGAAAAAAATTCTTCTCACCTCCCCTCTGCTTCTTTTAGAGACTATTTTGAATCTATGACCTCGAGTCACCGACACACCCACCAGTGGAAACAGTTTTTCGCTTTCTGACCTATCAAATCCCCTCATGATTTTGAAGACTATTAGGTCTCCTCGTAACCTTCTCTGCTCCAATGAGAATAATTCTATGCTCTCTCGCCTTTCCTCATAATCAAGGTCCCTCATTCCTGGTGCCATCTTTGTAAATCTCCTCTGCACCCTTTCCAATGCCTTAATATCCTTCCTACAGTGTGGTGCCCAGAACTGGCGCAGTGTTCTAACTGAGGCCTAACCAGTGTTTTATATAGGTTAATCATAACCTCCTGACTCTTGTACTCTATACCCCTATTTATAAAGCCTAGTATCCCATATGCCCTTTTTACAGCTTTAT